ACAATGAGGACACGTGTGGCTGCGGGACCACGCACCTGGCCACAGAGCCAAAAGAGCACGGATTTGGGGGTCCCTGCGTAAAACAAGTGTTGCTCTTTTTTTTTTTTTAAGATTTATTTATTCATGCATGTAAGAACCAGTGTACAGGCCAGATGCGCAGGAGGTTGAGAGGATTCAGCAGAGACAGAGTGGGGAACAGAACAGGCAGACTGACTGAAACACACTGCTGAGGGAGCAGCGGGCGAGACAGGAGAGGTCTGCTGCGCCAGGTGGGATTCTCGCCGGCCTGCCGGGATCGAAACCGCGCTGCAGAGGCTGTGGACAGCACTGCGCTCAACCGCCTGCGCCACCAGGGGAGGCCCACAGGTGTTTCTCTTAAACCTGGTGCTCAGGGGGAGATCTCTACTCCAGCCCCCACAACGACCAGGGTGACCAGAAGTCTCTACTGGCACCTGAGGGCCTGGTCAAAGATGGAGAAACTTCAGCCACACTTGTCCCCGGGGATGTGACAGTGTCTCCACCTGCTGTTAGGTAGGAGTCAGGTGTCTGTAATGTCAAGTCCTCGTGTTTGCAAAGCGTGTCGTTTTACACGAGCCAGGGAGGAATCGAGGCTGAGTGGAGGGCCAGGAGGAGGGCTGCCCAGCCGGGGAGGCCAGAACCTGTGCCTGGGGGCGGGAGCTTTATTCCTCATGCCCCACAGCAGAGAACTTGCAGTGTGAGCGGCTGGAGAGCGGAGGCTCGGTAGCGGAGCGGCAGAGGCCACGGGGGATAGGGACAAGCTGAATCTGGGCGGAGCGGCTCCTCTGCCCGTGTTGGCCCAGTCCTTGAGCAGGAGAGCCATGTCTGGTGAGTGTCCTGGGGCTTAATTCACTCATTCTGAGCAGACGCAAAGGAGAAAGTCCCTCAGAGGTATAACTCTAAGCCAGGCCCCCTGCCTGCTCTTCCTTTCCCTCACGATGGAAAGGGGCAGCGGACAAGGAGTCACCCCGTCTGGAAGCTGGGAATTACAAGGAATGGAGAGAAAAGATACTTGTGGTTTGCTCCTCGACAGCCCCACTACCAACACTGGGTGAAAAGGGCTCCTAGGGGAAGCACACTCGGAGGCCTATTTTATGATGCGTGTTGCTGCTGCTGTCATCACCAGCCATAGCAAAGCGGGCTGGGATTTGAGTTACTAATTCTGTTCATTGTCCTCGGGAAAAAAAAAGTTTCTGTACTGTCCTTTCCTCCTCTTGAAGTCGTCTCGTGGCCCATTTCTGGTGGGCGAGCAAGCCTCTGAGGCAGAACAGCCAGAGAAGCCTGTGAGCGCCAGACTCTGCCCCTCCTGTCTGTGCCAAGATGACGGCGCGGAGCTGAGATTGGCTCTGCCCAGTTTCCAGCTGAGGCCAGTGGGACTTTCTGAAATTGTCCCAAATCTCCACCACCCAATTCTAGAACACTCCGTTCTTACCGAGCACCCAAAGAGCCATCGTGAATGTGGGCCCAGAGGTCTAGAATTTAAAGAATTTTACTCAACAGGCAAAGTATTGTGGACATCTCTTTTTAAATATATATCATTTTTATTAAGGTAACAACAGTTCACAACAATGTATATCCTTTAGGGGACAGGTGTACCCCTCTTCAGATGCATGTCACCACAGCGCACCCACCTGGGACCCGAAGTCCCCCTCCCCAGTCCACTCGGCCCCTCCCCGCTTGGCCCCGGCCCCTCCCCAGCCCCGTAGCTCACTTCTGCAATCAGACTTCTGGGGTTTATTTTGGTTTAGCTTTCCTGTTCCTTTGCTCTGTTTCTCTATATTTCACATATGACTGAAGTCATCTTTCTCCCTCACAATCTTTCTGCAAGTTCCCAGAGTGGCTCGAAGGAGAGAAACCCGCCCTGTGCGGGTGGAAACCGTCTCCTGCGCCTGCCCAGGGCTGCTGGCCTCAGCGACCTCGAGTGCTTCTCACCTCTGTGCCTCTGGCAGTTCTGTTGGGACAGCAGGGCGAGTTCTGGCCAGTGGATCATGGGAGGAAGGACACCCGAGGCCTGGCCGAACCGGGGCGCAAAGCTCCCTGTTCTCGCCTCCTGGTACGGTCAAGGGCAGAGGAATCCATGGCGGACACTGAGTAGATTCTAGAACTGTGCTGACTCGTGGGGGGCCATGAGCTACATGTGGCCCATTGACCATTCAAACGGAGCCCCTCTAACTTGAGACGTGCTACAAACGTAAATTATGCACGGGCTTTCAAAGATTCCACAAGAACAGAAGGATGTAAACTAGCTCGTGGGTCACTTCCACATGATCGCAGGCAGTGGAAATGATAACATTTGGAATATTCCCAGAAATATTGAAACAGTATTACCAAAATTCATGTTTCTTTTTGAGTTTCTAATGTTCGTTTCCTGTGCGCCCCCTGTGTCTCCGCACAGCGGTTCTGGAGAGGGCGTCCCAGCCTCTTTTCATTATCACCTGCAAAGGACCTTTTTAGGCATTTCTCCTCCTAACGGCTGCTCTCCATGAACTTGAATAACACAGACACGCTGTCTAATGACCTTGGCCCTTGTGATAGCTAAGATGTTTCTTCCTCCCCTGTGTCCCCTGGAGAGAGGCGTATTAACCTTCAGGACCCTTTTTTTTTTTTTTAATAACTTTTATTTATTTATTATTTATTTATTTATTTGTACAAGCACTAGGTACAGTCAGAAGCGCGGGAGGGTGGGAGAATTCACCAGAGCCAGAGCGGGGAGCAGAGCAGGCAGGACCCTTTTTAAATGAGGTCAGAGGCTAGAAAGACAGCTCGGGCACCACACTAGCAGCTACAGACTCCTGAGAGCCCTCATCTCCCAGGAGCAGGGTTGGAGGGAGGGGTGGTCCAAAGGTTATTTAGGGGCCTGTTTTTTAGCCTGGGACTCTGGGAAGGGCATGTGGGTCTCTTCTGTCTTTTGTTTCCAAATAAATCCATTTTGTTCCTGGGATAACCGAACGCTTTTGTTCCATCAACGGGGGCATTCTCTCCCTGGTAGACAGTGCTTTTTTTGCAGGTGGTGGGCCTGTAAGTCCGGGGGGTGGGGGGGGTAGGGGGGAGTGAGAATCTCTGGGCCACCCACCATGGAAAGCTGCTCCCAGTGAGAGCAAGTAACACACAAATATGGATTAAGCCACTGAGATTTAAGGTTTGTTTTAGAGGCCACCACTGATTTCCTTGACACACCAAATCCTAGCTTTTCAACAGTATTGTTATAGGGCAGCCCCGATACAAAACGGGGTGCCTGACTGTGGGTCCTCACCTGCACGCTTAAAAGGACTTATCAATGCTCTACTGCAGGCGCACACGAAAGGTTAATGAAAGGTTTATTCACAAGGGAAGGGCAAATGAGGAAATGTGCAGCTCAGGAAGAAAAGTGGGAGACAAAGTTTTAAATGCGTCCTACCCGATACGCCGACCTGGAATCCCAAATGGTGCTCTGAGAGCTGGCCGCAGGCCAGGAGCCATGAAGCCAGGAGGTGAGCAGGCGAGCTAGCCCCCAAGGCCCACGTGTTTGGTTTTTATACCCAACCTGGCTGCTTAACCCCACCCTCAGGTCCCAGCCACCTTCCCTTTGGTGGTGGCGGGATTTGTCTTTCCCAGTGTCTTGGTGGCTTTGGTCTGGGGTGGGGGTGGAGTCCACAAAGCCTGCATGGCATTAGCTCAGGACATCCTCTCCCCCTAACAGTATCAAGAAGCCCAAGGAGATGTTACAGAATAAAAAAATAATAATAATCAGGGATCCACAGGGCCCAGCGCACATGCAATCTGTAGGTCTCACCATGTCCCCCCAGCTCCACCCCATCATCCAGCATTTGCTGCCTCCTTTCTCTTCTAGGTCTTGCCTCACACCACATCCCAGGCTTGAGGAATCTAGGGATCATATGTGCTTTCAGTTGTTTGCGTCCTCTGCCTGGAATGACCCTGTCCTCTGCCTGCCTGGCAAATCTAGACTCAGCTCCAGCGCCCCTTCCCTGCAGGAAGCCCTACCAGGCGCCACCCCTGCCAGACCCCCATGTGCCAGTCAGCGCTTGGCGGGACTCAGCACTACATTATTAATTCAAATAAAATAAAACATTATTAATTCAAATCCAAAATGCTCAAGTTTAACTCCCATCAGGAGGGGAAATGAGAGCAGAAAGAGAAGGGGGTCTTAACATGTTATACTTAAAATATTTTACAAGTTTTACAAAACCCTGGCCCAAGGGAACGCCTGGCGCCCCTCCCTGCCCACCCCGCCGCCGGCCAGCCGGGAGCAAGCCCTGGGGGGGCGACGCGTCCCCCGGGAGCTCTGCAGAGCCCGCCTGGGAGCGCCCTGGGGGCCCGGGCCGGGCCGGGAGCCTCTCAGGTAAATGGACAAAACGCTCGGCCGAGGGGACTCAGGCTACACGCGGCGAGGGCGCGGCCAGCAGCCCCCGGCGTCCTCGGCCCTGCTGCTCCCTCCGCCTCCGCGCCCGCCGGCGTTTCCGGGACCCTTCCCCAGAGCCCGCGCGACCCCGCGCCGGCCCGACCCGGCGCTCGGCCTGCGTCACCCGACGGCGCGGCCGCGGGTCGCGCTCGTGACCGTCACCGGAGACGGACGCGCCGCCCTGGGCCGTCCTCCCGGGCGGGGGGGCTGACCCCAGGAAGGGGCTCCGCCGCGGCGAGGGGAGGAGAGACACTGAGGACCCGCGGGGGGAGCCGCCAGGCGCGGGGCGAGCGGGCGCAGCGCGGGCGGGAGCGCGGCCGGCCCCGCCCCGCCCCTCCTTCCGCCCCGCCCCTCCTTCCGCCCCGCCCCTCCTTCCGCCGCTCGCCCCGCCCCGTTAAAAAACAAACCCGCAACCTCTACCCGGCCTCCTCCCATTGGCTAGGGCAATGAGTGACGTCTGCGTCAGCCAACAGGCCGCGGCCACGGCTTGGCGAGCGCCTTCCGTCCCGCCCCCGCCGCGCGCGGCGCCGACCTCGCGGGCCGGGGCGGGACTTGGGCGGCGGCGGCGGCGGGGGCGCGGCGAGCGGCGGCGGCGGGCGCGGGCCGGCTCGGCATGGCTCTCCTGGTGGTCGGTAGGCGCGGGGCTCTGTCCGGGGGCAGCCGAGCGGCCCGCCCCTCCCGGCGGGCCTCGGAGGGGCAGCGGGCGACGCGCGGCCTTAGCGGGCTCGCGGGGTGCCCTGGGGGTAGTTGGGGAGCCCGGGGGGGGGAAGAGTCCTGGGGCAGGAGGGGGAGCCGGGGGAGCTACGGAGAGCCGTGGAGGTAGTTGGGGGAGGCCCGGGGGTACGGGGAGCCCGGGGGGAGCCCGGGGGCGACTGGAAGAGTCGGGGAGCTCTAAGGGGTGCCCGGGGCCAGTTGGAGGGCCCGGGGGTCTGTGAGGGGAGCCCTCGGGCAGTTGGGGGAGTCGGTGGGCTGTCGGGGAGCTGGGGGCGCGGAGCTTGCCCTGGGCCAGAGCCCCCGGCGGGGGTGCGGGGCCTGCGGACGCCGCGGCGGGGGGAGAAACCCGGACACCGAGCCCCGGGGTGCTCGGGGACGGCCCGGCGTGGGGGGCGCGCCGGGGCCGCGCCCCGGGTGGAGGATGCTGGGTGGGGGTCGGGCAGGCGATCCCGAAGGTCGAGAGCGGCATTGGGGCGACCGGTGGGGGCGGAGGTCGGGGATTGGGGGCCACCCGACGGGGACCCCGCTCTGCGTCAGGCTCGGGTGTCTACGGACAAGTGCGGGCCCCTCCGGTGTCACGGAGCCTCCTGAGGCACAGAAACATCCCTCCCGGCCCTGACAAAGCCTGGCGGTGGTCTTGGAAGGGGAGTAGAGGCCGGGGTGAGCCGGCGAGAGAGGGTGTGATTGAACTCTTAGAAATGAAATTGAACCCAGCTTTCTGAATTACGTGAATTCTGTTCTAGAGACCGTGAGGTTGAGGACCCGGCCTTCAGCTGGCCTCCCCTGCCCGAGCTCTGCATCCAGCCGCAGTCTGAGCCCCTGCCCTGCTTCCCCTTCGCTAGCGTGTGCCTGGAAGCAAGTTACCCGGCCACTCTGGCTACTACTCTCCAGGGTTGTTCTGGGAATTAATGAGTTAATTAACACGTCTAAAGAGAGTAAACAAGGTTTATATATTTGCTGTTTAACCATAGACAGAATAGGTGGGGGAAATGTTTTCTTGCCCACACACGAATCCAGAGGAAGCTGTGAAAGGGCCTGAGATTGTCAGTTATCTCATTATTTTAATACTTGTAGTCAGCCTCTTGCTTTCTGGATGACTGCTTCGGGACCATGTGCTCTTCTTGAATGCCGGTGCGAGACAGAGATGTTACCGAAGTGGGTTTATAGCATCCTTGACTACTGTGGAGGGATAAGGAGGAGCCACAGATGGCAGGACCATCTGCTGGCATGGATTGGAGGCGCTCAGTTTCCCATCAGTGCTCATTATCAGTGGATGAATGGCGACGTGCATTTCGGAAGCAGCTTCACTGGTCAGCCCTGACCTACTTTATCATCTTGCACGGGCCCAGGGATTTTTGTTTCCTTGAGGGTTTTGTGAGGGCTGCTTACATGGACTACATTGATGCATCTTGTAATACTCAGAAAACCAGATTTCCTCCACCCCTACTAGGTCATATTAACGTATAAGAAATTTAGGTCTTGAACCTTTATCATCCAGCCTTTCCCATGGGGTAGCTGTTTATAGAGTAGAGGCTCTAATGAGAACCACCAAAATTTAAAGACAAACAGAAGTTTCACACCGTTGCTAGAAGAAAAAAGTTCCTGTTATCCCAGGTATCGGTGGTCAATGTCCTCATGTTAGAGGAAGCACCTTCCTGAGGTGGAAGTCATGGGCCTTCCCTCTGGCAACTCCAGCCTGCCTGGCCAGAGAGCCTGTAACTCACTTCGCCATCTGCCTCATCACCCTTCCAGGGATTCTATCACTACAGTCTCCACACCTTTGGTCAAAAATTCGGGTTGTATAACCATGTTCAGTCTTTGTAACTATGAGACCTTGGGCAAGTCACCCTTCTGGTCTAAAACTGGGTGTGGGGATTCATTCCACAAAGACTTAATGTTCAAGGACTTAATGATGTGTTAAATGTTTTGAACAATGCCTGGCACAGGGTGTCCTACAAGTAATATTCTTTGTTAAGATGTCAGTTTCCTGAGGGGTGTTAGATAAATACATGAAAATGTTAGTCATATCAGTGGTCCCCCTTGCAAGATTTTTCTTAAGGAAATGATCATCATTTGAGAAGGGGAAAAGCATAAGAAGATTCAGCATCGGCCTGTTATTAGTTTTAAAAAAGATGGAAATAATGAAAATCTGTGCAATTATTTAGGAAATGTGATTTATTTTGAATGAAGAGGTCACAGAAGGGAATGTATAGTAAAAGTACATTTATGTCAAGTTTTAGATCGCTAGCATGTAGAGAAATGTGAAAATGTTCACCGAAATACTGATCTTTTGTCCCAGGACTGCTGTTGATGCTTTTTCTTCTTCGGCTTTCCCATTTTTGAACATTTCACAGTCAACTTAATGTTTTAAACAGTATCAATTCATATCAATTTTATAAAAAAGGAAAAGCTTCAAAGTCATGGATCTTTGTGGGAGATTATCTAGGACCAATCTGACTTCTAATTTTTATTCAGGATTAGAACAGTCTGTTTCAGTTTCTTAATTGACTTGCTTTGCTAGGTAGGTCAAACTACTTGACCTGAACCTATAGCCAATGAAAAGATTATTGAGCGGTACCATCCATTGGAAATGTAATGCAAACTTTGTATGTAATTGAAATTTTTGTAGTGGTCACATTGGAAAAAGCAAAAAGAAAAGGTGAAACTCATTTTAATGTGTATTTACCCAATATATCTAGCCCATGTCAGCATGCAAGCAGCATCCACAATACGAATACGATCGTTTACCTTTTTTCCTGCCAAGTCTTTGAAATTGAATGTGCCTTTTATTCCTGCACCACATCTCCGCTGGGGCAGCCTTGAGTGGCCAGCGGCTGCCTTGTTGGGCTGCAGAGTGACGGAGGACGCCCCCTTGGCCTGACCTCCATCCACAGTCATGCTGTCCCACCCCGGGCAAGAGGAGGTCGTGTCACCCCTCACTGACTGGCTCTGAATTCTGTTTCATTATTCCCTGTGCTCTTTCTAGCCTTTCCTAGTCTGCTAACCTCTTCAGTTCATGCTGCGATCACCCGCATCTTCAAAAAGAGACTTTCCTTCTGCCACATTTACTTGCTCGCTCCTGTTTTTTAAAGTGAATTAAGGATTATCTTTATTGTTTTTGCAAACTTCTTCTACTCTCCAAAACTACACATCGCCTGCTGCTTATTTTCACTATCCACCACTAGTATCGGGGGCTCCAGTGACTTCTTGGTCATTCAATCCAATTTACTTGCCCTCCCAGTAGCATTGGTTACTGGCACCCATTCCAGTTTTCCCTTGGTTTGGGGATGCTGCCTTCCTGACAGTTGCCCTCTCCATTGTCCACATTGCAATCTCTTATTAGAGAACAGATCTGATCGTACCCCAGCCTGATAACCCTTGTGTAATTCCACATCACATCATTCCTTAATCAGTTCCACAGTGCTGTTTCCTAAGTTCCTACAGTCTTAGCGATGTCTGGGATTCAGATGCTGTATTCTTGAACACTGAAATTGTGTAATCATGCCCTCGCCTTACTCACCTTTTTGACCTGAACACTAAAAAGGCCACGTGATTAATGGGAAATGCTTGGAAATCTGTCAGAGAGCTGCTCCGCCACTTTATTTGTATGCCCTAGAAGGGCCGCTTGACCTCATTCTGCCTTTGCCTCCTTTACAAGACAGGGATGATTCCTGCTCTCTCGTTTGTAATGCTGTGAACAATCAAGTGATGTCATGTATTTGCGAGGGATTTGAAAATTGAAAGTGCTGCCTAAGTATTAAGGTGCAGGATTTAGCAATAGAACAATTAACTTTGGTGTGCACTTCCAGAAAAAATTTACCATTCGCTTACTCAAAAAGTTCCATTGGAAATCTTCCAAATTCTGTTTACAAAGTAAACATTAAAATGTGGGAAAAGGTGTTAAATACACTAAGATGACAGTCAGTTTTACTTATAATTCACTGTATCGGTATAATAAATGTAGGAAATTAGATGATGTCCTCAATGCCAAATAGATAGTAGTAGAAATCTCTTTAATATAACAAAGTATCTGTTTCAACCTAAAAGCCAGTATCAAGCAAAAGGAAAATACTCCTGCTTAAGTCAAGGACAAGCAGAGGACATTCCATTTTTAGCATTGTTCTGAAGGTCTTGGGTGTGCAGCTAATTAGTAAGCATAAAGCAGTTGTGTGCATGTGTGTAAATTTTGGATGAGGCAGAATTATGAGAGTTTACCATTCGAAAGACTTGTGAATTTTTAAAATATTCACAAGTCAGTTCAAAACTTGCTTTTCTATATACAGCAGGTCTTTGATGTTTTGATCAACATGGATAATTTTGCATCCTTGGACAAAATGACGTTATTCGCAGAGCTGGTTCTGTAAACCCTGAGCGTCGTGACTGGGTTCCTAGAAAGTGGTAAAGCTAAATGATCTGTAGCAAAGCCGGGTCCTTGAACGACCTCGTTGGCGGGAATGTTTTTTTTCATTAGTGTAGAAACAACATGGCATTGGATGAAGCAACATTGGAGAACCTGCTGTTCATCAGTCTCTTCACTTGAGGTCACAGTTTCCAAAAACCTACCCATGAAAAAGTGAAGACTTACTGTAATTGCTACAGACCGCATTGAGTTCCCAGAGTAGCCCACAGAAATAAGCTTGGTCCACAGGAGCTAGACTGCTGGTCACAGTACATCTCTGTCCTCGCTTTATGACATTGTACACATGAAATTTCCTTCTCAGCTTCTGGGAAACATTGTGAGTGACTGCTGTGCCTTGGGTACTATTTAGAGAGTCACAGTCTGATAGAGGAGACAAGTATCTCTCTCTCTCTTTTTCCCTTAAAGCTTTAAACTTTAATAGAGACGATGTGCTAATATTGCAGCTGAATGACGAAGGGACTAACTACTGTACTGTGTGGATCACCAGGGTCACAGAACTTGTGACCAATGTTCAATGTCCTTGTCTACAAAATCACAATGATAGTGCTGCTCATAATGTGGTTCTAGAGAATGAGGGTGTTAATGTATGAAAGGCACTAAGATTCATTTTGAAATCTTTTTCAAATTAGCTCAAGACCTGAGCGGGTGTGCTGAGCACAAAGGTAGCCTCCAGCCGCAGCCGGGGCGCGGTGACCCAAACCATCCTGCTGTGTGAAGGGCCTGGGCGTTTGAAAACTGTTCATCCAGGTTTCCTGCTGTTAATGGACCCTGCTGTTAATGGGGTGCTTTTGATCCTACAGGTCTGGTGGGCTGTACCTTCTTCCTCGTGGCGAATGGCCTCTACTCTTCGAGTGATGATGTAATCGAGTTAACACCGTCAAATTTCAACCGAGAAGTTATTCAAAGTGATAGTTTGTGGCTTGTAGAATTCTATGCTCCATGGTAAGTGCTGTCATCATTGGTCATAGTACTTCATAAAATGAGGAAAAGAGTGTGTGTGTGTGAGTGTGTGTGATTTCATTAACCCATCTACCTCATTTACTGCTTGCTTAAAAGAAATAGAGGGGTAGGAGCCTCCCCGGTGGCATGGTGGGTTGAGCGCAGCGCTGTGAAGCTGTCCGCAGCCTCTGCAGCGCGGGTTTGATTCCTGGATGGCCAGGGAGAATCCCACATGGCGCAGCAGACCTCTCCTGTCCCCCCAATGTCTTGGGGCCATCTGCCTGTTCTGCTCCCCGCTCTTTCTGGTGAATCCTTTCACCCTCCCGCACCTCTGACCTGTACCCCAGTTCTTGTATAAATAAATAAATCTTTAAAAAAAAAAAAAAAAAAAGGTAGAGGGGTAAATGGTAGAGATGTTATCTTTTAACACCACAAGCTGTTACCCGTTAAAACCATAAAGATTAAGTGAGTTTTTAAAAATTAAGTTACAAGTTGTTGCCAGAGGAAGAAGGAACAATCCTTATAGTGAGGTAGGTAGGGTGGGGAAGGGAGGTAAATTAATTTTTAGGAAGAAATACCGGGCTAAGGAGAGGTGAAGGAGAAGTGTGTAATTGACTCCATTCTGTTTCTTGTTTTTTCTTTTATCCAGTAGGAAAGAGCTTTACTCTTCAGTGCAATTAGTGCACAATAGAGAGCAAAGAAAAAGATAGTTAAAATCATTTCCGCTTGAAACATCCCAAGTTACCATCCCCTCGTCGGTAACATTCTGTTTCTGGAACAGGTCTCTCAGAAATACATTATTTTAAAATATGGTTTAATTTTAGAGTTCTTTTTCCCCCGTACATTCATCCCTGTGGGGTGAAGATGTAATCACCGTTGAAACGAATTGTGTACAGGTACATACAGTCAGAGTGTGGCGATGTGTTGTTCCTGTAGTTAAAATAAACAGACAGATCAGACCTGACAAGTAGAAATGTGGAAACAGATTGAGACATGGCGCCGAGTGGCGAGGAGACGGCCTGCTGTGAACAGGCGGGCCTCGCGCCCCAGGGTGCTGTGGGGCCCCGAGGTCCAGAGTGGGCCTTTTCAATGAGAACTGTTCTTGCAGTTTCCCATGGGGCTGAGTCGTAAATTAAAGTGGGTGATTTTAGGGTGTGCCTGATGAAGGGTTTCCCTCTGCTGCTTTGGAAAATTGTGAAACAGTTTGGGAAACCAGTCCCCACGGAAAATTCCACTTAATATTCAGCTTGGCAGGTGGAGGCACGGCCCTCTATTTTGCTGTACTAAGAATACATTCAACTTAATGCCTTCACTGTTTTTTAAAAGGCTCCTGTTTGGTTATTGTTTGTTAAATAGTGGTGGACATAGCGGTGTTTAAGGTAGCCTGCGGGAGCTGTCGTGGGGATAGCCAAACAGCTCTGACTTGTATTCGTGACAAGGTCACAAGTACTGACCCGCTACGGTAGGTTGTTCGTGTTCATAATTGAAGGAAACCCTAAATTTCAGTTACAGGCTAATGAAAATAAAGCTTTGTTTGTTTATTTGCCATCAAAATTCACAGAGCCCCTGAATTTTTATCCATCAATCCTTTGGGGAGTATGGGGACCCCAGGGGAAGAGCCCTGGGTTAGAGGGTGTGCTCTGTGTTTAGGTTCATACGACTTTCTGCTCTGTCTTTGCACTGCTTAACGTTGTAACTGAAGGGGGTACATACTCAGACAAAGGGTAGGAATCCTGTCAAATTTTGCCTGGTGGACAGCCACGTGGCCCACCTGAACACAGAACATGTGCAAGTATGCACAAGCAGCATTTCAGGGCAAGCTCTTGTAAAACACTGAGGCGCAGACCGCGTGGAAGGTGATGAAGTGTGGGCTGGGGCGTGAAGGACTGTCAGGTGGCTCTGGCACTGCACCGCCTGCCACTTGCCTGCTGCTTCTGTGGAGTGAAAACAGCAAGGCCGGTGCAGGTGAGATGAAGCCCTGTGTGAAGAGGGAGCATCACTGTGCTGGCCGGTGGCGTTTGTTCATGGGGTCCCGAGAGACCTCATTAGAAGAGAATTTACTTTGCTTAAAAAGCATGTCACCTAACGGTGGTATCTTCCGTCTTCACGCAGTGGATGTTCTACAACGATGAAGATGAGCAAGCGGTTACCTACAGTGGTAAAGGCTTGTTAGCAGAGCTCCTTTCTGTGTGTGTATTTCACAATTTTTTTCAAATGCCAGTAGCTAAAAGATTACGGTGGTTTTCCCTGTGTTCTTGTCACTCTCTGTCTAGCTCTCACTCTTTTATCACCTTACTGTGGTGTCAGGTGCTTTTCAGCTTGCTAGGTTTACTAATTTGGGATTGCGTGTGCATTTTTGGCTGCACACCTGCTTGTGGGAGCCAAAGAGCACCAGGTCCAGGCTCTGGCACAGATGCCTCCCGATCTGTGCAACAGCAGGGTTAGGCTGGGCCAGGGGCTGCCTGACCTTTTCAGCTTTCCACTTGCAGGGGGAATGTACGTTCCTGCGCCCCACCTGGGAACACTCATTTCTTGGGTCCCATAACCTGCCTGCTGCCTATAGCTCAGACCGTATACAGAGGCACAGTCAACTAAGTAAAGCTCTAAAGCTCCTGCTCAGATACAGAGTTATCAAGGAATTGAGCAATAATTTGGAAGCTTTTAAAATTTTTGATCTAAAAAAGGGTTGTGGGAAGGGCCCCTGGGCCCCCACATGCAAGTTTGTGGAAGCCGCATGTGGGGCGCAGACATTGGTGGTGTTTATTGGGTTAGGGTCAAAGACTAACTGTTGCCTGTTTGCGTTTTTATCCTCTGCAAGGTGTGGCCACTGCCAGAGGTTGACACCAGAATGGAAGAAGGCGGCAACCGCGTTAAAAGTAAGTTTCTGCGAGCTGGGCGTCCAGCTGTGCATGTTTGAGTGTGGAAGCAGGCAGACAGGGTGTATACTGGGGAGCCGATTTGCATCGTGATGCTCGAGCCCTTGTTCTGGTGCCGGAATCTTACAGGGAACAGAGGAATAGTATGTATTTTAATTTTTATGTTGTCTTTTTATTATGATTTTTGGATAAGTGACATGATTACTCTTAGTCACGCTAACCCTGGAAGCTGCAGAGTTCCCTCCATGGGTTAACGTGCATCATTGTTCGTCGCGAACTGGCATCCCAGAATAGAGCCCTCATTGACTCTGTGTGTAAGCCTAACCCTGCTCTTTATTACTTGTCTCCGAATTGATGTGATTCAGGTCATGGGTTCTTGTGGAATCTGTTTCAGTTGAAAAACAAATAGATGCTCCTTTCTGCTTCCGCAGGGCATTGTAAAAGTTGGTGCAGTTGATGCAGATAAACATCAGTCCCTAGGAGGTCAGTATGGTGTCCAGGGATTTCCCACCATCAAGATTTTTGGATCTAACAAAAACAGACCAGAAGATTATCAGGGTAAGGACTTGTCCTGGCTACTTTATTTCCGTGGTGGGAATGGTAGTTTGGGCGGGAGGTGAAAACTAGGAGGGAGCCTCAGCTGCTTCGTGACTTGTTCGCTCGGCCACCCGCAAATTTCTCAGCCTCTTGGTGCCTGAATTTCCTCATCTTTGAAATGGCAGTGAGTGGTTCCCACCTTTTCTGAGTCATTTTAAATGTGTCACACAGGTCAAAGTTTGGTTTTAAATTACCATTGTATCAGCTTAGGCCAACACTGTCTTAGCAATAATAGAGCAACAATGTTCTATGCTTTTGTCTTTCTCATAATTTTAAAAAGAATGAAAGTTATTTAATAATTTACAGTTACTTAGTATTCAGTAAAGCTCTACAAATTTTTTTTTGCTCTCATCTCCCTTCCCTCTACTGTCGAAAGGGTCTGGACCATATTGATGTGTAAAAAGAAGACCGTGACCCTAGATGCCTGGTCCTTAAGTGCTGATGCTGTTTCTCAGTCTCCTAAGCTGTTGTGTGCATCTGCTGCGAGTTACTGGGGCAGCTGAAGAGAGAATTCTGGCACAAGCCTCAAAAGGCCAAATTTTAGTCATATTGTTCTCTTATAAAATAGTCCTGTGAGGTCATGCTGTGAGCTCATGCACGGTGTTGCCCACGGAGCGCTGTGTTTAGGATCATTGGAATTCCCAACTTGAGCATCTTCGTGGTCCTGATGGAAGTGCTGGGCACTGTGTAGCTAAAGTTCAAATCATGGCTCATTTTGAGAATTTTTTTGTAAGGTTTTGTAGCATGGAACATACAACACGACTGAATTAGAGTCTAACATCTTTGGTTTGCTTTATGTTTAGGGCAAGATTCCATGGGGTGGGGGTGAGGTGGAAAATGAGCACCACAGTAACAGCGAGTGTTCGTGAAGTAGCTGTTCTTGGTGTCCTGCATTGTCTCCATCTGATAAAACATGCTCAGAAAAAGGAAAGTGAAGGGCAACGCAACCCCCCTGGGTCACACTCCCTAGTGTGGCCTGTGAAGACAGTGCCTGGGTTTGCCTACTGGCCTCGGCACACTCCGGCTTCTTCACTAAATTAAATAGCAAACTCTGGACCTGCTTCTTAGCTGTAAGATGGGGGTGTGGCATCTGTTTTAGGCTGTCAGGAGTTTCATGAGATAGTACATCTCAGGGAAGTGATCTGGTAACTATCAGTGTAGTTCGTACATCACCAAGCTGGGGCTCATAATACTTGGGGACACACCGTTTCTTCTAGACTCCCCCAGTCTGAAGTTCCATAAAATTATCAATTTCTTTTTTCTGAATAAACATTAGCTTTGGAATAATAAGTTGTTCATTTCGTGCTAATTTGTAAAAATGGAATGTGTAGTGCAGGGATTGACTTGGCCTGCCGCCTATTTCTGCAAATAAAGTTTTTCAGAACACAGTCACGCCTGTTTGTTACTGTTGTCTGTGGCTGCTTTCTCACACAAAAGGCAGAATTGAGAGGCTGCAAAAGATAGTATGGCATGCAAAGCCAGCAGTAACTAACCTTTCTGTAGCCTTGGAGAGAGGCAATTGCCAGAACAGGACGCCGGCTGGGGAGGTGGAGGTGCCGCCTGCCGATGGGGAGTAGAGGTGGCTTTCATGCTGAGCTCTGCCCTCTGCATCAGCTGGCCTCAGCCAGGGCGCGGCACCAGTGATCTGAACATGCTCTCGGGCTCTGTACTGTGTGATCTTCCTGGCGTCAGCTCTGAAATGTTTTGTATCTCTGGGCAGTTTGATTAGAAAACTTCAAAAATAAGAATGAATGAATGAAGAGATTTTATTAAAGCTTTGCCTTTGAACTCAGATCACTTTGTGACACGTACTGCCCTGTACTTCGGAATCAGCCGCTAGTCCCCTGACTCCTGGCATAGGTTTTAAAAACTTCCATAGGCTCATCATTGGGTTTCAATACAGGGTTTGTTAACTTACATTGCAAGTAAGTTCAGCCACAAAATCTAAAGCTCAGATACCAGTGTTTTAACTTTAAGCTAGAACAGAGAGGTCTGATTTGCTTTACAGTTACTTAGCTTTGGACACCTCATATCCTACTAGTCTAGCTTTTTTTCTGTCAGTTACCCCATGGGGATTTCTTTTTCTCCCAGTTTTCCTCATTCGGTACTTGTATTTAGATATTTCTACTGCTTTCTTGACTAGATAATACACATTCATCTGTGTATGTGTGTTATGGTCAGTAAACATTTGTGGATTATTCTCATACTAGTAACTAGTATTATAGGTGGGCAGGACGTTCTTGTTCACACTAAAGCTAAAACTGAAGAAGAGGCTTTGGTCTTTTCAAGTGTAAAGTGCAGTGCAATGCAAAATGCATTCTGGGGAGAAATTGGCCCTGTCCTAACTGTACATGTTGTCAGATCTGTTTGAACATCAGGCGAAGCGGACAAATTTGTGGATGTGCTAGTCTCTAGACTGTGGCAGGCGCATGGCCCGCCCCCCCTCTATCTGATGCCCTCTGTCTTCCTGCAGGTGGCAGAACTGGTGATGCCATCGTGGATGCTGCTCTCGGTGTTCTACGCCAGCTCGTAAAGGATCGCCTGGGAGGCAGGGGTGGTGGGTACAGTTCCGGAAAACAAGTAAGATTCTATGGTATCAATTTTTACTGTGTGTGATGATTTTGAAGCCTAGTGTAGGCGCATAGTAATTTGTTGTTTTTAACATTTTAAGTTGGTGAACTTTTGTAATTTGTTGGTTCGATTGCTTAACATTTTCAGCAAGCTCTGGTGAACTTTTGATTAAAAAATAATAGGGGTTTGGGTCATCTGCACCTTGGGGTCAGCCAGCCTTTCGCCTCAGAATCATCCTTTGGCCTTAGCCAGTCCCAGGGCATCTTGTTATAACTCCAGGCCAAGAACTGGGCCCTCGATGGGCTTTCTGGGCCCAGGACTGAAATAGAGAAGTTGGAACTACAGTTACTGCGTGACTTTGGGCACACAGGGATGAAGTTTGCATAAGCTCTTAGCCTGTACCTGTGGCAGTCAGCCCAGAACCTGCGGACAATGCTACATAAGTGCATAGGGAAGAAGAGGAAGATGTTTCTGTCCTACAGATTGGCATTTTAGATGCCCTTGTCTGAAATGTGAAGTTCAACCGTGATGTTCTGTTCTTGTGAAAGGACAGTAAGTTATTACTGATTGAGATAAAATGGCCCTTCATGGCTTGTGAAATCAGTAAGAGGAGCTTTTTCATACAGAGCTTACCCAGAGACGACCTGCTCTGGTCTTTATTTCAGACCTAGACGTTGATGAGCACAGTGCGTCCCTTCTCCAGGCTCTCAGCCCAAGCGGCTCTGGTGCTGAAGCAGTCCTGGCTTGCTTAAGGCTTAGCGCTGAAGAAAATTCTTCAAAAAAATAAAAAAAGGGTTGAATAATACTTTTTCCTCTTGAATGGCAAAGCTTTGTGAGAAGGTCATCACTGTAGTTGTGTGTCAGAGCCTGGGCAGAAGCAGCAGCTGTGCTTGGATCTGAACTAGAGTAAGTGACACAAGGCGAGTCGTTCAGCCTTCTTGAGGTTTCTCTTAATAAAAATATCTGATAACAGAATTCAGACACTTGTTCTGTGTTACGTACCGGCAGTTGTGTTCACTACTTACCAAGTGGAATGAACAGTATTAAGCAGTGTCCCAAATTTTAGTAAAAGAGTATTTTGCTTGGGAAAAAAAGAACTTTGTTAAAATGTAGAAGTGATTTTTGAGAGTTACATTCTTTTTGGCCAGGTTGTAATTTAATGTTTAATGTCACAAATTACAGGGTAGAAGTGAAAGTTCAAGTAAGAAAGATGTGATTGAGCTGACAGACGACACCTTTGATAAGAATGTTCTTGATAGCGACGACGTTTGGATGGTTGAGTTTTATGCCCCTTGGTGTGGTCACTGCAAAAAGTAAGTTTTTTTTTTGCCAAGTCCTTGTTCAAGTCTCCCAACTTCTAATATACCCGTTGAGCTATCTGCTTCTGCTGTTCTGTTTGGACCCACTCCCCGACTGCCTGCCCAACCCCCAACACCCCCCCCCCCCCACCCCTGTCTTCACTGTCTCTGTGAGCTTGGCTTTGTTTTTGTGCCTAAGTTGCGCGTGCGTGACCCCTCATGAGCACACCTGCCCGCTCCAGGAGAGCTCTGGCCCTGAAACGCGGGCAGTAGCGCCAGGGCCGTCCCCAGCATAGTCTCAGAGATTAGAGGGAGAGGGCGCTGGCGCCACATTATGCTTAAAGTACACCTTCACGTGCAAACTGTTCCCCTGCAGCCTCGAGCCAGAATGGGCCGCAGCGGCCACAGAGGTGAAGGAGCAGACGAAGGGAAAAGTGAAGCTGGCTGCCGTGGACGCCACCCAGAACCAGGCTCTCACCAGCCGCTACGGGGTGAGGACGCTGCGCAGCTCACGGCTCTGGCGGCGCGGTCTTTTCAGCTCAGAGTTCAGCCAGTGCCCCGGGCCCCTGGGGGTGCGGGGGGGATATTTAGCTGTTTTGTAATGAAGACATGGCATTTTATGTACAGTTAGTAGGTCTGGAACTCAGACCTGTTGTCCATTTTTTTCCCAATATCTCATTATTCTGCGCGCTGACCGTGAGCCTTCAGCTTACCCGAGCTTTTACAGGCTGCTCATATATGGCTTTTGAAGTCTGTGCACTTTCTCTAGAGCACAGATACTGTGTAAAGTATACTTGCAAGGTGGGAAAGATTTGACTGAGCCTGACATTCAAATTGTTAAAAACCCCTGTTTCTTACCCCTGGGACATTGACGTGGGCTTGGGTGTATTTCTGTTAACATTAAATCATCTAAAAGGTGGTTTAAGAATGTATAAAAATTATCTTATTGTGGAGTGTTAATTTGAATTTTTAAATAGATTAGGGGATTTCCTACAATCAAGGTGTTTCAGAAAGGCGAGTCTCCCGTGGATTATGACGGGGGACGAACAAGATCTGACATCGTTTCTCGGGCCCTCGATTTGTTTTCTGATAACGCACCCCCTCCTGAGCTGCTTGAGGTAAACCCATCTGCCATTCAGTGGGGAAAGCCCTCCCCACCTGATAGTGGAGCTCTTACAGCAGTGATGACTATTCCTGTCTGCCAGGTCCACTCTTTTCCTTCCCTTCTAAAGTGCTCTCTTTAGAGTGTTTTTATACTTCTAAATGGGCAAACCTGTCTGATAAATTGCTGCTATTCATAACTTTTAGTGCTCAAATAATTGCACTGTCAGCAAAAATGTGTCTAATCTCCTTAACAATAGAAAGGACCCCGTCCTGACAGACACCGTTCTGTGCTTTGACGTATGTGCTTCTCAGTTGATTCCTTGCAAGCACTTAGAGGGAAATACTATTTTTGTCTCCATTTTCCAGAGGAAGAAACTTTTCACTTGCATTATCATGTATGAAAATATGTCCCTGAGCGATTGTCAGAGCTGGGCTCTGCAGGGCGTTCTTACTCTAGCAGCCCGTACACCCGCGGGTGTCTCGCCGCCATCCCAGACGGAGGCTTAGGCTGCCTAGGGCATCTTCTGCAGAGCAGTTGTTGGTCTTTCCGTGACCCAAGCGAGGCCATGTTGCTTGGCGGCCTCTTACTGCTCTTTAGAGGAATTGATGGTGTTCCCGGGGGTCTGTGTCATGTGTCTTTCCACCCCTCCCTTGTCTTCGGGCTCCCTCAGATCATCAGCGAGGACGTGGCCAAGAAGACGTGTGAGGAGCATCAGCTCTGCGTTGTGGCCGTGCTGCCCCACATCCTGGATACCGGTACGGGCAGCCACCCTGCATCCTGCTCTGAGGGCGCTTGTAAGAGGGCTCATGTATGGAGTCCTTTATGTTCACCGTTTAAAAACTGTCTTTACACAGGAGCTGCAGGCAGAAATTCTTACTTGGATGTTCTTCTGAAGTTGGCGGACAAATACAAAAAGAAAATGTGGGGGTAAGTTGAACTTAATTGTCTCAGCGTCTTCGGGTAGGGCGCTGTGGCACGTCCCGAAGGCGGTGTGCCACGTCCCGAAGGCGCTGTGCCTCCTGACTTTCTGTAGGACATGTTCCTCTGTGTGCTTTGAAGTGTTCCTTATATAAGATACCAAATAATTAGGAAGACAAGAAGGAAGGCAGGACTCTTGTTTGCAAGGCTCTCCCTAGTGCCACAGCATACTTCCTCTCATAGGAATTGTATTTTTAATTGGTCGCTAGGGCCCCAGGCTAGCAAGCAAGAATTTACTCAGTAACATAGCTGGGTGCTAATACGACCTTGCGAGAGGATGCCGTTGGAAAGTTCTAGAGGTGTGCTTCTGTACTGTCTTGTGAATGAGGGCTTGGTTTAAGCAAATTTTGAAAACCAAGTGTACCCGTCTCCTTCCCTTTGCTTCTCATCCTCTATGTCTGATGCCGTTCTGCGCACGCGCTATGTCTCAGTGACCTTGCACCGCCTTCCCTTGCGCAGCAGTATTCCTTGTGCCCACAGAAGGCCGCGTTCTCCGTTCTCTGTTCTTCACCATTACAGAAGTTGTGTAAAGAAATGAGAGTATTTTTATATGTATGGAATAATAACATGCCAGACTTTTTATTTAAAGAAGTTAGTATACTTTTTAAAAAGCATGCATAATAGATTGGGAGGGTTAATTCTTGAGGTTTAGTAGACAGCACTTGGGAGCTGTGGGTGGGGTGGGGAGCTACAGTCTTACAGACAGAACAGTCCATTTGGGGACTTCTACACTTAGGGTTTAGGGAAGTTGTTATGTAAGAGCACATTTATAATACTTTTTTTTAAACTTCTGGGCTTTTGTATTTATACACCCATTTCGTTGCAGGAGATATCTGAATGTGCTTTTCTGTTATTTAAGTAAGATCTGCCAGCTCCATTGCAATTTGAAAGGAACATTTGCCTTAACCATCAATCTGTCTCTCTAGGTGGCTGTGGACAGAAGCGGGAGCCCAGTCTGAACTGGAGAACGCCCTGGGAATTGGGGGGTTTGGCTACCCCGCCATGGCAGCCATCAATGCCCGCAAGATGAAGTTTGCTCTTCTGAAAGGGTCTTTCAGTGAGCAAGGCATCAACGAGTTTCTCAGGTGATCTCATGGTTTCTTTGGTGGTTTTGTTTTTCTGTCTGGTTCTGTTGCGGGTTTTGGTTCAAAGTTAGGTTTATAGAGACCAGGCAGCAAATGGAATTATTTTGCATTTGACAGTCTAGGGAATTAATTGTTTACAAGTTAGATCTTTTAAATCATCTGCCTGGACTTTGTTCTCCTCATGGGCACGTTGTACACAGTGAAAGACATGCACACTCCCTGCGCTCACGCCACCTCGCCGCCCCGCAGATAGCGTTGGGCCACTTCCTGGTTGTCATAAAGGCCTCCTCAGGGCCAGAAGCAGCCCTGTCTCACCTGTTCTCGTCCCAGCATGCTTCGTAGCCCTGACCAGAGGAGATGGGGTTTCCATTTGTGCCATGGGAAGTCCGTAGGCAGTAAATGCTTCATGGAAAAGGTATGGGGAATGAGAGCACGTTGTGAACACAAGACAGCTACATGTGTCAGGTGTGGCAACAGACAGCCATTGGTTGAAATCACACGGGCCCTGAAGCGGGAGACCTCGGAACCCCACCCCCTGCCAGTGGGGATGCGCACGTGGTGGCGGGTAGGACGGGAGCGACGGCATCTCACTGCGTGCAGTGTGCAGCGAGTGGCCGTGGACCCGTTTCCAGCTGCGTGAGTCTTGTTCCTGAGTACGTGGGCACAGCACTGGTGCGGCGCCCCCTCCAGCGGCCGCCTGGCCTGGCTCCCCTGCCCGTGTGCACGTGAAAGCAGCAGAAACACCCTCCGTCCGTGCGCGTGAGCTGAATTGATCAAGTATAACCATAGACATTTATGAATGAGCCACGTTTTAAAGTGTACAAGATAGTGGCAGCGGCCCCAGACTTGGTGAGCCCAGGTAATGTGAGCCTTTCTGCCTCTTTCCTTGGAAATGTGGCGGCGTGTGCCTCTTGCCGTGGCAGCCAGGAGAGAAGAACATGGGAGCGTGTGTTATGCACCCAGAAGTGAAGGAAGGACCTGGATTTTGTGTCCATGGGTGTTTGTTCAGTTGGTTTGAAAGCAGCCCCCATGTTTCCCCAGCATCAGCCAGAGATCTGCCTGTTAGCACTCAGAGCCCAGGAAGGCAGGCGGCAGGAGGAGGTAGCGGGATTGAACCTTTTTTTTACAAAAAGGAAAAACAAAACAACTGCGGTCTACCCTGAAGGCATAGCCCCTCACAATTTTGTGCCTATTTAAAGGCGTCTTTCATTCGCCTTTGCTTGGATGGAGCTGCTGACGTGGCCAGGAAGCTGTGGGTGTGCGTTCTGCCGTCCAGCACATGTCCAGAGCAAGAGGCTGAGGTTCCACAATAGCGGAGCACACGTGGCTAGCACGAGGGGAACCACAGGCTTTGTACTCACTTGGACTTGTTTCCCACATCTGACGAGCCTTGCGTCGGCCCGTGCTCCTCACCGTAAAGCGAGCCATCCTAGCCAGGAGTTACGGGCTGTGCGCCACAGATCCAACGCAGCTGAGCGCCGTCTGCTGGCACGGCGGCGTGCTCCAGTGAAGAGCAGCGAGGCGGGTGTAGGGCGCAGTCAGTCCTGTTTTCTGAGTGTACGCGGTTCCGTGCACTTGGTGTTTTGAGCCCGGTGGTTCTCCCCTTGGCCTGTGCCTTGCGGGATGTTTAGCAGCGTCCCTGGCCTCTGCTCCCTGGATGCCAATAGCGCACACACACACCCCCGCCACACGCGGAATCTTGACAACAGTGTCTCAGGACATGGCAAAATAGCCCCTTGTGGGCAAAAATTGCCCCAATTTAAGATCCACTGATAACAGTTGTAAAAATGCAAAGTAGCCAAAGGCATTGGAGAAAATCACCATTTTCCCACCATGCAGGGACCGTGTCAGACACACACGGGAGCGTCTTGTCTTTCTCTGCTGCCCGTTTTCCCTGCGCCCTTCCCCAGAGGGTATTTGGAGCCTCCTGAGTCTAGTCACTGCCCCTGCATCTTTGAAGCGAAATGCCTTTTTTCAATTCCTGCCAAAATCAGGACCTACCACTTCCTGCTGGAGCCAGCTTGCCTCGCGTAGAGCTCGAGTGAGAGAGACGCTAACACCCTCTATCGTTGAGAGGCCTCCGGGGCTGGTTTTGAGTGCTTCCGCTTCCTTGGAGGTCTAAGGGAAATGAGTGAATTTTTCTAAAAGCCTTTCTGGGTCTTTAGCCTAGAATTTTGTTAATCAAATGTCATTGTTGGTTTTACCCGTGTTCTAGGTCAACCTGAATAGTTTTTATTACCTAATTTGTATTTTAGCAAAATACACTGGCTGAGTTATGAATTGGGCGTCCGTGGTTTAAAGGTTTTCCACAAGGAGTTTCTCCGGAGCAAGCAGTGAGAAGCACCCCACGTTAACAAAATGGGCAGGTCGTTACTTTCAAAAGTCGTTCTTTATCTCCATTGTAACCGCTTGCGCTGCTCCGGGTCCTTCTCTCTCAGGGAGCTGTCTTTCGGACGCGGCTCTACAGCCCCCGTAGGAGGTGGGGCCTTCCCCCCCATCAGCGCCAGAGAGCCGTGGGACGGCAAGGACGGCGAGGTGAGTCCCAGGGCCCGGCTGCAGAGCGCCTGGCCCCCTCCGCTTCCCCGAGCCCTGCGCCTGGGCCGCACAGAAGTCGAGTTCTCCCGCCAGACCCCAGCGTCTGATGGTGCCTACAGTCACAAGGCCTCACGGGCCTACTGGGGGGCCCTTAAGGCCTTTACCCCATCTTCCCTGTTCAAAAGCACAGCTGGCATTTGATTCTTGATAAACCCCAAGATCAGTTTCAAAAATGAGGTTGTTTCCTGATTTTTGATGGCCCCAAAGTAGTGGATATTTAACCTGGAATTCACTTACTTTGCTTTAGAGAAGCGTAAAGTTATGTCTTTGAAATGAACATTGAATCCAGCCTCCTCCTCCCCCCATCCTCAGAGGACAGGGAAACAGCTCGGTTGCTCTAGTGAGGTCAAGTCGCGCTTCCCTTAGTGCGCAGCGCCTCCGGCTGTGTAGCGGCTCGAGGCAGAGCTGGATTGGAGGCAGCTGGCTGTGTGTGGAGGCCTGCGGGTGGGCGGGCATTTGCGCCTCTGTAAATGAAACGTGAGCCGTCGGCTTGCCCTGTCCATGGTGGGCGGCAGACCCTGAAAGGCGGCTTCTGTCTTCCAGCTTCCCGTGGAAGACGACATCGACCTCAGTGACGTGGAGCTGGACGACTTGGAGAAAGACGAGTTGTGAGAGGCTCGGCGTAGACCTCAGTTTTCTTTTCTTGGGAGCGAGCTTTTCCAGCAGTGAAGGAACATTCTTAGAATCAGTGAGTCTACCCGCGGCCTTTCAGACCAAGAAGTAGCACTGGACGGGTCGCTTCAAAGCACTGCAACAGCGGACTTGCGCATCTCAAGAAAACAACGAGAAATTCTATGAATTGTAACCAGCGAATTGGGTTGTATTCTGTTGAGTAATATTTTGAAGAAAACTGATGGGCTGTTGAAACATTTTCCCTCCCTCTGACTGCTGCTTGAATGTTCTTGGAGGCTGTTTCTTACATAAGTTTTTTAATGTGATTCTTTCATTTGAATATAATGGCTTTTTTCCATTTAAGAATAAAACAATATTTTGGACAATGCCAGTACATGTGTGGAATTAGTGTCCACATACACTAAGAGTCTGGTGTTTAGCCAGTAAGTTAATATTACAAAGGGATGACCCGATGTCTTTCCTCCCCCGGAACTCGTGACTCAAGACGCGTGCGGTGCCTCCCCCAGCACAGCCATGCGGGTCCTGCAAGGCCAGCTCCTCTGAGTGAGGTGTGGAGCCCGTTTATGTTGGGGGGAGAGGAGATGAAGAGGTGGTCAGTTGAGAAGAGCATTTCCTGCCCAGCATCCTGTCTCGGGCCATCGCCAGGGACTTAGCAAACACAGCTGGTCAGTCGTCAGCGCGAGGTTTTGATGTTGTTGTTAAGCCCTTACAGAATGTCCATGAAATAAAGCAGCAGATCACCAATTTATAGGCGGTCCCCATTTATGTGAAGGCCCAGAGAAATGAGGTTTGAATTATGTTAGAATCTGAGTGAAGAGCCAATTCAAAGGAGTGAGCATTTATTGTAACTTAAAAAAAATAAATACAACTGTCACTAACTCTTGTGAGCAGCTTCTCTGAAAATCTACACTCTGTAGGACAAACTGTTCTCCAGCTCTGGAAGGAGCCCCTGTGGGCGCTGAGTAGGAGGCTGCGCGTCCCTCACCCTTCAGTCCAGGAGGTTGAGGTCGATGTGGAAGTAGACATAAGGGTAGTACTCGTGGTTGTTGAGTTGTATCCCAGGGATCTCCACCGACGCCTGCAGGAGGAAAGCGGCAGCGGTCTAAGGGCCTAGCTGAGTCCAGTTTGATCTGTTTTTGAGGACTCTCCAGGCACTGTCCCCCACCCCCACCCATGGCTGTTACACTAGTCAGTCTTGCACAGCAGGCTGGTGAGTACCCTGCTCCCATGGGGAGGCCGGCGGGGCCAGGGAGACGCAGCCCTGACTGATATACGTACGTCCAGGATGCTCGCAGCAGCTACCTCGTCCAGGTGTCTGAAGACCGAGTCCAGAACGTCTCTCAAGCGCTTGGTCGATGACTTCTTGTGAGGCTGCAGGAGCACCGCCTGGAAGTTCACTGGGAGCCCGTACCTTCTCGGACAGAATGCATGAGTTACTCCAAGCGCACATGAACTAGGCAGGAAAGAAAGTTCTAGCAGCAATAAGCTGTCAGAAGAGCTTAAGAAGGTACAACCCAGTTGAGTAAAACGTCTGGGGTCAGGGAAGAGACTGATCACTACATCTTTCTGGGTAGAAAATCTCTGCAACACGTGGGCCCACTTGATAGCAGGTGTTGGTAGCAAGTCGCGATCAGCCCCGGTGTGGTGCGGTGGTGAATGCTTACGCTGAGTGGAGGCAACTAACGGGGCTGAGTGTTTGACAGCAAAACATTTGTCTCCAACCTGGCTCAGCCCAATCGTCCACTGAAAGAACAGCAAAAAGAATGTTTTTCAAGCTTATGAATTGTTTTTGCTGACTTTCTGAGTGGACAGGTGATTTCTGGACTCAGGCTGAGACGCCTGGAAGGCCTGCGGCGGCACGGCCGTGGTGGTGTCCGGCCGACTCAGAAATACCTCGTGCCATTTGCGGCAACATGGATGGTGCTAGAAGGGATTACTCCAGAACACTACGTACCAGGTGGTTTCACTTACATATGGAGCCTAGGGAAAGCAAAGGATCAAAGACAAAAGCATCCTTGAAAGCTGACCACAGATCTGAGGCACTCGGGAGAGTGGGGGACGCGGTGGCGAGGGAGAGGGAGGTGGAGGGCTGGGGGTACTTTGGTGCTGGGAAAACTAGGGTGATGGCATCTGAGGGGAGAAAATCCCATCTTGTGAAAAGATTTTTTTTTTTTTTGAATGAATGAATGAATGAACGGAACATCAAAAATAAAAGTGTCAAGAATCTCCCTGGGGCCTCCCCTGGTGGCGCAGGCGGTTGAGCGCAGTGCTATGAAGCTGCCCACAGCCTCTGCAGCGCCAGTTTGATCCCGGCCGGCTGGCGAGGGTCCCACATGGCGTGCAGACCTCTCCTGACTCTCCCGCTGCTCCCTCGGCAGTGTGTTTCATCAGTCAGCTGTATTTGTGAACAGCAGACCCGTGATTTGTGACTGTCAGGGATTTTTGGTTAACTTCACCACCAGCGAGCAGGTGCCCGTGGCTAATACTTCTGCCTCCTCACTGGAAACGTGGCGGTAGCCCCTCAACAGACGTCACGCCAAGGAGCCATGACTCAGTCTCCGCCCCCCAGTCCATGTCCATAAATCCTGCCCACTCCTAGACTTTGCCTTGGAACAAAGTATCCACTCAAATACTTCAGTGTCTCCTACTTGATCTGCGAAGGCTGCAGTAAATGTGCCAGGAGGCAGCCGGGCCTGGCTGTCACTGCCCAAGCATGAGCCCGCCCGGTCAGGCTCCGGAAGCTTGGGTGAGCAGGTGACATCAGTGAACAAGATCCCAGCTGAGGACCCCCACCCGACCACGGAGCTTTACTTCCCCAAGGCAAGTACCACAGAGGCCAGAGGGGCTGTGGTGTGTCAACACCAACGTGTTGACTGGCACATTGGTGTGTGGGCCGACCCAGGTGACACCCCGTACCTTTGCTCCCATCTTTCGTTCCCTAAGGTCTGCTGTTGCCCATGTTCCAGGAGGAGTTGGGAGTGTCCCCAGGAGGCCTCCCCTCCTGGGAGCCGCCCACGCGCCCTCCTGCTATGCCCCTCCGGTGCCTGTCACCATCTCGCCCATTCACAAAAAGCCTCAGCTCCCTGTGGCTCATTCCAAATCCGAGAGCACTCCAAGTCCCATGGCGTCAGCCCCTGCATCCGGCTTCTCCACCCACGGCCTCCCATGGCCTGGTCCCGGGACACCTGATGCCTTCACATGCCTCTCCCCACTGCTGCTCTGCCCGGCTGCTTACATGTCGGGGTTCCCTGAGGTAGCCCTCTAATCTTCCCCCGGGTCAACTCATGCATAGTCATCACTGTGCGCTCCGTAAGGAACAGGGGGTGCTCAGGCTCTCTTTGCCGCCTGCAGCCAGCCTCTCGGGCCTCCACTCCCCGCTAGGTCTTCGCCCCCCGCTAGGTCTCATTGCCCACACGTGGTAACGTGTTACCACACAGCGCTTGGGAGCGTGAGCCCGGGGCACGCGCACCTGACTGGGCACCCGCGCGAGCAGCCGAGCGCACGGGGTGTGCGTACGTAAGCACGGACACCTGGGCCCAGAAGCCAGGGATAAAAGGAGAGACGGGTCGGGGGCTCACTGCTGCCTCCCTGCCTGCTGGGCTGCCCGTGAGTCCAGTCCCCTGATTCAGCATCAAGGGCCCGTTAGGGACACCAAAGGCTCCAGAATTCTCTTTTCCTCTGCCGGAGTCGGCAACGAAGCTGCCAGGCCTCGGAAGGCTGCTCAACAAGCCCCTCAAGTCCCCTCCCCGCCAAGACCTCCCCCCGACTCCAAGCCCATTAGCCGCCCAGACAGCGGACCACACCACAGCCCCGCGAATCACCCAGCGCTGCTAGAAATTGCTCCTGTTTCTCTCCTGGGGGGCTGAGCCCTTCGTGCACCCCCAAGATTAGTAATTTCTCAACTTTGCTTCTATTCAATCTACAAACATTAGAATCTACTCTCCCCCCACCCCCACCCCCAACTCTGAGCTACAGCCCCAGCCATGGGGCCAGGCAGGGAGCAAGGAAGAGAAGGCAGAGCCCCAAGTGCTCCCCTGGGGTGGGGGGGGCGGGAAGCAGGTGACCTTTACCTGCCTGCGCAAGTGAGCCTGCTCGTCACCACCATCTCCTCAGACAGGGCCTCCCCACGGATAGAATAGGAAAAAGCCACCAGGAAGGACCCCCAGCTCTCGCCTCCGCAGGAGACCGCAGTGCCGGGGGAGCAGGAGCAGGAGCAGGGCGTGAGGGAGCAGCGTCCCGCCGGGGACACGCAGAGCCTTGAAGTCGGAGGCCGGGACTGTCCCGGCGGGGCTGGGGAGGCGCTGCACTTCCCGCACAATGTATCTCTGCACTTTTTTTTTTTTTTTACAGAGTTCTACTATACTCACTAAACAAAAAATGGCGAGTTTTTGAAAAGTGATTCTTGCATTTACTTTCAGGGGAAATAGTTTCATGGCACTTGAGTGAGACACCAGGGCACCCTCCTCCACCTCTCCAGGCCACGGCCTCCGGTGGGAAGCCAGGGACAGGCCGCCGGTGTTGGCGGAGCCAGGCTGGCCTGGGGCCGTCCCTGCTCCAGGCGGTTGGGGCTTTGCAGGTTAGCTTGAGCACACCTCGCCCCAAGGCCGCCATCCCAGCCATCACCAGCCGGAGCGGGTGCCAGGGCCAGGCCTGCTCTGTGCCGGGCAGAACGCTGGCAGCCAGCGGAGGACAGGCTGGAGGCTGAGAACCAGCGAGAGCCGGGCAAGCCAGGCGCAGACACGGGAGGGGGGGCGAAGGCGGGGTAGGGCGTGAGGATGCGGGAGCAGAGGCCGCCAGGCAACCCTGAGGTTTGGGGCCTGGTAATGGCAGGACAGGACGCTGGTCTGAACGGGAAGCCGGGGAGGGGCCGGGGGTGCCTGCGTCAGGCAAAGAGCAGCACCTGGGGGCTCAGGAGGGGTGGGGGTGGAGATGGCTCAGCAGGAAAGGGATGGGGAGAGCCCCACGAGGGCTAGCTGCACAGGAGCCTGCGGTCAGAGCCAGCCACGGCAGGGGCAGCTTCCAGAAGGGGGAGCTGGTACCCAAGAGTTCAGCCTTGGCCTGAAAGCAATTCAATGTCCTGTTTGACTCATTTTCCCAAGAAGAGAGTAAACAGCCCACACCTGCTTGAACTAAGTGCTTCTCTCCCTTGAAATGGGGTCGTGCTTTAAGGCAGTGGCACCTTAAGCTCTCAGTGTTAAAGCCAGAGGATTTTACCTTTATTTCCACCCCCCCTTTTTTTTTTTTTTAAAAAAAAGGCAAAATAAGATTTGTTGGTGTCAGTTCAGTTGGGCTTTAGCACGGCTGCAGGGTGAGCCAGGAAATGGCCGCACATTGCTGAGAGTCTGGGGGCAGAGGTGGGGGGAAGAGAAGATGCCAAGGAGGCTGGAGAGGCTGGGATGGGGAAGGCAGGAGCCCGGGCACCCCCAGAGCTGGCTCCCACTGCAGGACATTCAGGGTTGGGCCACCCCCTCTACGCACCTGAGCACGGACTCCACAAACACCCTCAGCGCCTTGATGTGGATCCAGGCGATAAAGGCTTCGCTGAAGTTCACCTTGAGCCAGTGCAGCAGGGGGCCCTGCAGAGACGGGAGAGGCAGTGACCCCTCCAGGCCGCTGTCCCCAACACCAGGACAAAAGGGACTTGGGTTTGGACAGTGCAAGCCCTGCGCTGAGACGCCCAGGAGCCAGCAGAAGCAGCGAGCTGCTGGCCAGGGCTGGCGGAGTCCAGGCCACACCCTCCAGGGTGCCTGGGCCCTGGAAACGCAGCAGGCCCGCACCCGGCACATGCGTGGGCAGCAGGGGGCTGGGCAGCCCCTGACCTCAGGGTGTCCTGCAGCAGGCAGCTGGCCGGCTTCCATCTGACCCTGTCGCCCAGGAGCCACCTTCTGGAAGGCTCTGCTCTTGGTCCTGGCATCAGGGCCAGTCGCCACCACCAGGGGGCTCCTCACAGCCCCAGCCCCGCGGCCACCAGCCCTCAGGGCCTCCGCAGCCGGCACTCTCGCTGGGGGGGCCCGTCCTAGGGGGAGCTCGGCGCCTTGTCTCCAAGTCCCCGCCTGATACCTCCAACTGCCCACCAAGGTCAGGGGTGGGTCCAGCCAGGGCAGCCGGGGGAGGAGCGCCCAGCTGCCCGACCGCCCAGCAGGGCCTGCCCTTCCGTCACCAGCTCCAGCCACCTCCCGGCAGGGCAGACACACCCTGGCCACCAAGCACGGTCCTGCTGGGTGGGTGGGTGGGGGGCAGCTCCAGAGGCACCCCGAAGAGTAGGAGGAAGGCATGATTCTGGGCCCCTCGAATTTAAGCCTCCAAAGCCACATTCGATCACAGAAAATGCAGGGATTCGGCTTCTCAGAAGACGCCTGAGTGGGCGAGGACATGCGAGCCAGGGAACCCCGGGCTCGGGGGTTGCTTACCTCACCCTCGCCCTCACTGTCTCTCCCTCGGTCGGTCTGCCCCGCAGCAGGCCTAGTGGGGTTACCTAGCGGGGTTACCTTAACCTTGTGGTCCGGGAAGGAGGATGATCCCTTTTTAAGAGCAACACAGGAAGTTTGCTAAAGGCACAGAAATCACTTATTAATCATTCAGCAAACACGCGTCACAAACAAACAATTCTCGGGGGCCTGTGCGGGTGTGCCGGGCGCCCCGTGGGCCCGTGGGAGCGGGGCTCAAGCCCCTGGGGGGCAGCCGCTTGCCGGGAGAGGGGTCGGAGCCTCCATCCCTGCCCCCCTCTGCAGCCCGGGTCGGGGACCGCAGCTCTGGGAGGCGGCGGGGGGGGGGGGGAAGGGGGGGCCGCTGGCTGCCTGGCTCCCGCAGTGTCGCCACCAAGGCGCGCCCAGCAGGCTCCGTGCACAACGGCGTCCGGTGCCGGGGGACGTGCGCCCCGTGCCACCTTTCTCTGTGGGCAGCCGGGCAGCCCCAGGCTCTGCTCTCAAAGCAGCTGATGCCCGCAGCCAGCCCCCCGCACCCCCCGCCCCACCTGGGTTGACAAGTAACAAAAGAGGCCAGATGGCGGTCAGCGGGGTGAACCCGTACCCTGAAATGAGTGTTAAACCATACGCACCCCAATCCAAAACAGTCTAAATGCTGACCACGCCCACCTCCAAACAGGCTATGGGGGTGGGGGGGTCTCAAAAAGCAGAGCAGGACCACCCCCGCCCCCATCCCCCACGCCCCTCCACCCTGGGGCACAGCGGGGGCCTCGCAAGGCACTGGGGCATTTGCTAGTGTCTCCTTCGGGCTCCACTTCCCTCAGAGACCCGGCAGGGCTCCCCGGGGCCCCCTGGGGTGCGGAAATCTACACCAAAAGCGCCAGCAGACACCCGAGGCCAAGGCCGGGAGGCGGGCGGGCTCCTGTGTCACCTTGGCGCTCAGGGCTGGCAGGGCTGGGAGCGGGAGGTGGGTGCCAAAGTCCCCACTGGCGCCCCGGCTCGGGCAGGCCCCGCTGGACCTCAAGCGAGCGGCGCGGACGGGAGCGGGAGCGGGGGGCTGGCTAGAGGCCTCCGTCCCGGGGTCGGGGTTTCGGGGAAGCTGGGGCTGGAAGGAAAGCCTTTGGATAACATCTCTGTTGGTGAACCCCTTTCTGCCCAGGATTGGGGGGCAGCACTCTGAGGCTCAGGCCCCGGCCCAGCCCATCGTCTCCTGCAGGGGGACGCGCCTGCGCCTTGGCCCAGCGGGTTTCGTGTCTGAGGAGCGTGTTCACTCACACGCACGTCCACACACGCATGCGGGTTTGTGTGGGGGTGGGGGATGACTCCCCCCGCTTTTACATGATCAGTGTCCATGTCCTCCTCAAAAGGGGACAGGACTGTCCAGCGGGGGCAGCAGGAACCCCATCTGGGGGCCCCAAGGCTGGGTGACTCGTCTGGAGCTCTTGTGAAAAGGCCGTTGACCCAGAGGTCAAGCTCGACGTGCAGAACCCCCGGCTGATGTCGAAGAATGGGGACCGGGGTGGGGGGGCGGTGTAAACACTCAGCCACGGGGCACTCCTGGCCCTTCCCCCAAGCACACACTCACAGCTTTATGTCTACACCGACTTTCCTGCAAGAGGCCTGCAGAACATTCTGCTCATTCTTCCCGTGCACTCCACCGCCAGGCTGAGCCGGCAGGTGCTCCCGAACCTCCCCCGTGGGGATGGGGACAGGGGCTGGAGACATTTCACCCGCCGGGCCCCTCCCGCCCAGCCCCTGGCTCGGCCCCACACACCCATGTCACACAGCGGCCGGGGCTTTGCAAAGGCTACACTGTCCACACTTCAAGCGTGTGAGTCTGTCTGCTCCCTCTGTCTGCTCCCTCCACGCTGCGCTGCCCTCCCAGGTGAGGAGCTTTGAGTGGCCATTGCCGGAAATCTCCAGCCTAAGCACCTGCTCTTGGTTAGAGGAGCGGGGAGGTAAACACAGGTGCTGGTGGCTGAGGGGGTCATCTCAGCCTGCAAATCACACCACCAAGGACAGCAGGTGACTGTCGCCCCGTTCTCTGAGGGCTGGCCAACACGTGTCACCACATGTCCCCGCCTGGAGCCGCGCCTATCTGGCTGGACCTGGGGGATTAGGCGGGTCCTGATCTCCAGGGAAAGGCTGATTAACTGCTCAGAGCCCGCAGCCCCCCCACCCCGCTCCTCTGCAGGTCAGCCCGGAGGCCCTTCCTGGGAGGGTGCGACCCCGGCAGGGGCACCCGGCTCATGTCCTCCGTCCACGTGACCTGGGCTCACCTGCCCCAGACCCTGCTCTGGCAGTCCCAGAGGGGGGTGCACCCCGGGGAGGGGGGATGGTCGGGGCGGAGAGGTGGAGACTTGGGGTACTTCTGCCCCAGGCTTTGGTGGGGACCGAGGGGACCCAAGGCCCCTCAGGAAAGGCCTGTGTCTGATACTCACATACTGTTGCTTCTTATCAGACAGCAACCTGGTCATCTCCTCCCTTTCTCTTTTAATTTCTTTCTCATCATAATAAAATTCACGGACAGTGAACCTTGAAGCAAGCAAACGCAAGGCTCTTATTAAGAAGCTTCTGGTTTGAGCAAAGGCCCACGGGTGCAGGCAAAGCCCGAGAGGCCCGAGAGGCCCGCCAGGCCGGCCCTTACTTGTTCTCTTTGGCTTTGGATTTGAAGTCATCGATCACTTTTCGAAACAGAGTCACGGTGAAGAGGCCGCCCTCGCCGTCCTCAACAATCAATCTGTTGGAGAAGCGTCTGCTCACCGCACTGGCCACTGGGCCCCGCACTGGAGCTCGGCTGGGGGTGGGCTGTCCCCTCTCTTGGGAGGTGGGTCAGGCAGGGGGGAGCCTGTCACCCTTGGCCGGTGGCCCATGGGCTGGGGAAGGCCTGCCTGTGCCCCCCCCCACTCCAGACTGAGGCCTCAGGGGCCCCCAGGGGGCTAGTGGGGGATCCCAGGGTCCGCCTGCACAGAGATCTGAGCTTTGCTTTACAAGCTCTGCTTGTAACGTGCCCGACAGAGCAAGCTGCCTGTCTCTCTTCCCTGCGATGCCGCAGCGCCTCCGGCCCTGACATTCAATGGCTGTCATGCAGGACGGGGTTCTGGGTGGTGGGCATCAGCCCCCAATGTCCAGTTCGCGTCTAGTGTCACAGTGTCCGGTTGGATACAGCCTCCCAGGCACGCCTCAGCGTTGCTCCACGGGGCTGCGACCCCCACATGAGGGTCTCTGAGTCCCACGGGCTGGAAGACCCGATAATGGGAGCCCTTGGGCCCACAGGCATGCCTGGGTCACCTTCTTGTATCTCAGAGCCACCCCAGAGGGGCCAAGCCAGGCTCCCGTGACTTTTCAGAGTCATCCCTGCAGCCTCTCAGCTGCCCTTGACACGGCTGACAGGGGCCCCAGGGGTCTGGCCTGAGGGGAAGCTGCCTGTGGGGGCCCCTCACTGGCATGGAAAGCCAGCACTGAGCAGCCGCCTGTGCACCCTTGTCCTCTGCTGCAGAGGGGACCCAGCAGCCATACACTGCGATGTCCTCCCTGGGGGCAGCTGCTCAGGCCAGGCCCTTGCTTGACCCTCAGCAAAGGCCTATGGGGCATGCACTGAGGGGACCTCTGCGTGTGGCAGCCCGGGAGGGCGTCCCGGAGGAGGCAGTGGGGTCTGAAAGCTGAAGGGAGTGGGCATGTGGTGGGTGGGGCTGCAAAGGCACTCCAGGCCCAAGGTTGGGGGCACAGGTGTGGAGGGCTGAAGGCCATGCACCCTTAGACGTGTTCGGTGGTCGGATGCCCCCCACACCCTACCTCCTTCCCCCAGGGAGCCTGGGCCCAGGCTGGGCCTCACTCACTTGGTCGACCGCGGGACCACCATGTCCGAGAGGGACTCGTAGGTTTTCTGCCATTGCACGTAGCTCTGTCTGCGGGAAGACAGAACTGCTGGTGATTTTTGCAGAATAGGCTGTGGGGTATCATGAGTGCCTAGGAGCCTGGGCACCCCTTTTTCTGAGGGACTAGGTGGGCAGGGCAGGGAACAGAGAGAACCCCACATCCTCTGCAGTCCTGCCCTCTGGGAATCCCACCCGGCCCCATCCCAGCCCCACCTCCTGTGGGGACTCCAGGTACCCCCAAAGGGCCTGTGTGAAAAGTTCAGCCACCGGTTGGGAGCTTTCTGCTCCTGCCTGTGCGCCCTGGCGAGCCCCTGACCGCCCGGCCTTGGACAGTCAGGGCCCACTGGAGAGGAGACGCGGCGCCTGGCACATCGCGGCTACTGGGGAAGCTCCTGGCCTCCGCTGTCGCCCCACACCCACATCCTGCCCTGCAACCGTCCAGGACCCAGATGCAGGCCGGGGGCTCCTCCTGCCTGGCGCACGCACTTGGGAACGATGACCAGCAGCGTGACCAGGTACTCGGAATCCAGCACGAAGTCTTCTTTGCTTACAATGTCACTCAGCGTCCGCGTGAAGAGGTTCCCCCTGAATCGGGGTGGGACAAGCAGGGGAGGGGAGTGAGCAGCGAGCAGAGGCCTGGGCGGGCGGGGCCCCTGCATGCATGCCCACTCGCACATGCACAGATGCAGCGCGCGGGCCCTGGGACAGGAGGCTGGGTTCCCCTGCGGAGAGGGCCCCAGGGCTGAGCGCGGGCTCCGCTCTGCGTCTGGAAGCCAAACCTCTGTGCTGGCAGGGCCGCAAGCACTGTCACCCGCCACCGCAGGGGCTGCTGAATTCAACACCTCTGTCACCTACGCTGCCCTGTGCAAGCCCCCCGCTGCTGGGGGGGCCACGGGAGGCAGGGAGCTTGGGTTACTCAAGTGTCGACACAGTGGCAGGCCAGCTGGGCCTGTCCCTGCCGAGCACCCGAGGGAGCTCCGTTTCACCTGACACCCCGTACAGGTCGGGCAGCTGGGGCCTGGCCTGGAATAACTCTCTACAGGCCCAGCGAAGCCCGGTCCTTATCAAGGTCATGGTATTTTAAGCACAAAGATCAAGGCCACTGTATTAGCAAATGGGGCAGGGCAGAGCCACCGAGACCCTGCGCAGCGTCAGCCCACGGGCCAGTCAGCAGGTGCCCACACAGCACTGTCCAGCCCTTGGCCGGGGCCCGAGCCTTAGACACTGCTGTCTGGAGGCCCTGCTGCCTGCCCAGGCCGCCTGTGCTGCCCTTGCCAAAGACTGCACGCCTGTGCCGGGCAGCCGCGGCGCTCACACACTGACTGACGTGGCTGTCTGCCCCGCCCGTGCCCAGCACAAAGCAGACGTCCCTTAAATGTTTGTTGATTGAGTCGTGAGCTCTCCATGCGCAGAAGTCCTATTTTATTCTGGTCGGTGTCTCGGGGCCTGAGAGTATGGCAGGTGCTTGGTAAACTCGCTAAGTGATGCTCAATAGGCGCTGGCTAAGAGCAGGAGGTAGAAGCCGCCACCCTCTCCGCGCGCCCCCTCCCGCTCAGCGCCTGTTTGCGCTACTGGGGAGCAGTGTGTGGACGTCGTCAGCTGCGAGCTGCAGAGGCCGGGCCAGAAGTTTGCTCAAACCTAAACAACTCTTCGGAGTCCACAAGTTGGTGGCACCACGAGTGGACGGTCCAGCCGGCGAATGGCCACTGGCCCCGTGGTCAGTGCCACGGCTGGTCTCTACCACAGTCGCCGTCAGGACGCCCTGCCCAGCTCCCATCCTCACGCCCCCGTAGGGCCAGAGGCGAGACTCAGCTGACGCCCGACTCACTGGGATAACGTCAGACGGATGCATCGCCAAGGTGCATCCGTCCTCCTGCCTGGCGTGGTCCACCAACAGACCCCTGACCATGGCGCGCTCGCCCCCTCCCTGCAGCCCCGCCAGACCACCAAGCTCACGCTTCTCTCCGCCTCCCCCCTTCTTGGCGCCCTGCGAGTGGCCGGATCAGCCTTCTGCTCCCTCTCCCACGCGGTCCTGAGGGGCGAGCCCGGGGCACCGAGCCCCTGAGCCCGTCCCTCTGCCTCTCCGAGAGGGGCCTTGACAAAGCTTCCACCAGGGAAGGAACTTGGGGGGCACCCCAGGTGTCCTCAAGGGCAGGGAGCGGCTGGAAGAGGGAGGGAAGGGGCGAGGAGCGCGAGGGCCGGGGCTGCGATTCCTCTCTGGGCGCGGGGAAGCGGCGCCACCAAGCCCAGCCGGCCCGGGCTCCTGGCTGCCTCTGCGGGAGCCGGGGCGTGAGCTGCGGAGCCGCGGGCAGACACTCACATGGACCGCTTCTCCAGGTTCTCCAGGTTTGTCTTCAGAGTGTTGTAAGCAGCCGTGCGGGACTTCACGTCGGTCTCGATCTGTGCCAGTTGCTGTTTGGAAAAGCCCAGGAGTTTAAAGAGTTGGTCAAACTTCTCGAACATGACCACAAATGGCTCCCAGCTCAGGAACATACTATTTGCCGAGTGCAGGGCGGGGCACGGGCAGAACCTTCTCGCATGGTCAAGGTGTTCACAGTGCCTCAAGCGCCCTCAGCTCTGCTGGACACCAGCTCAGGCTCACCCCCACCCTGGCCTCTCTAGGGACCCCCCAAGGGCTCAGGCAGCCAGCAGAGGTCTCTAGGCTCAGCTGGGCGGCAGCTGCCGTCCGTTCTGCACAGACAACCCAGCTCCTTCAGACCGGAGGCCCGTCATGGGTCTGGCTTAAGGAGACCCCAGGGGGCACGACCAGAACCCCCTCCTGTGTGGAGCAGGGTTGGGATGTAGTGGACAGAGGGGAGAGGGGGTGGCCTGGACCCAGAGCCCAGCCAGGTCTCCTGCTTTCCAGATGCTGGCCCCTGGGGCCTGTCCAGCCAGGTGCTCGCCTCCTCCCCAAGGGCTGGCAAGAGTGAAAGAAAAGTGCCCACTGGACCCCAATCCAAGGGGAGCCCTCAAAACAGCCACGGTGCAGCCCCCGAGCAGCTGTTCTGAGGTCGCAGAAAGCGGAAAGCTCAGTGCACGGGGCCTCCGACCCCCTGGGAGCGCGTGCGCGTGCACGGCCGTGGACACGAGCGAGATCAGCCGTCCCCACTGACCACCATGGACGGGTTCTCGGAGCTCTGACCGCAAGCGAAACGACGACAAACAACCTTGAGTAAGGTCATTCAGGTCAGCGTTGGCTGGGATGGTTTTGTTGCCACCAGTGTCACGACGAAACTTGAGGCTGGCTCAAGGAGTGGCTGTGGACGCACACCTGCGACACCGGAGCTGCGGGGCTGCCCAGGCAGCTGAGAAAGGGCCCCTCACCACCCCCACCCCCGCCATGCTCACAGACCCCGAGGTGCTCCCCACCGCCGTGGGAGCCCTGAGCCCCAGACCTCAGCACGGCTGCCGAGACCCGACCGGTCATGTCAAGACCCAGTGTATTTAAAAAAGGGTAATCTAGGCTTTGAACAATTCTGGGTTTCAATGTATACATTTTCATGCAGCTGGAAAGATCCACTTTAAATTTTAAATGTGGGTCACCTTTAGGGGGGTTGGACGGAAGGCAGTGGGGTGACGTCACAGGAGGCCTTTACCGCTTTTATCTTACATTTGACATGTATGTCTTTTTAAAAGATGGAACTTCCTTATGATAAAAATTTCTTACTTTCAAATGCTTATAGATTCACAGGAAATTGCAAAAAGAGATCCCATGTCTGGTTCCGCACGGGCAATATCTTACTATCAAAACCGGAAAATTGACACAGACACAATCCACAGATCTTGATTCTTACGCGTTCTAAGGGGAGCGGGGAGCCAACCAAACAAAAATACCCTGCAGCCTCTCCAGGATTTGTTTCTTATTTTTCTGATTGCACGAGTGAATAAAAAAACTACAAAGGAACGTTTGGAGACCAGTAAGTGTGGGAGGAACTCGGGCCTTCGAACCAGGCAGGCCGGGGCTGAAGGCCTGTGTGGCCCATATCGGCTCCTGAACCTCTCTGAGCTCAGCACCTCGCAATCACCCTGTGCTGCCCCGCGGAGCAGCCACTCAGGGGGCGAGTTCTGTGCTCCCCAGCCTGGGCTGCACGAGGCAGGGGTCACCTCTGGGTTTGGCCAAGCGGACAGCACCGGGCAGCACTCGGAGATACCAGCTCAGCAGGACCAAACTCACCCGGCCTGGCTCCTTCAGGCAGGTGGCTGGCGCGGCCCTGCGGAGGCAGGCATGCCAGGCAGAAGCCTCGAGGGCCCCTGGAACTAGCTCTCCCTGAAGTGCTGGGGATGTTCTGGCTGCAGAGGCCGGTGGCGACCGCTCCAGGGGGCGGGCGTGGGGCAGATGCCCACCTTGGCAGGCAGGTGCATGGTGAGGAGTGAACCTGCCTGCTACCCTGGTTACCTTGGGGGTTTTCTTGAAACTGGAGCCTGGCCCAGACTGGCACGGCATGGCTGGCCCCTGGCCAGGTAAGGATGCCACGCTGAGTGCCTGCAGAGAGTGGGCCAAGCCCTCCTCCCGCCCTGCATTTCAGGGACACAGGTGGGCTAAGTTATCAGCTATTGGCAGGGAACAGGCCCTGACCCTGACTGTCCACACCCGGCTCCTCCTTGGCTGTGGCTCTCCATAGGGGGCTTTCTGGGCTGGTGTCTTTGGTATCAGACTCACACCTCCCTGTGGGAGCGGGCACTGAGCCAGAACTGAGGATGGGGCTCCTGGTGCAGGACAGGTAAGGGGGCCAAGAACCACAGCCTCTCCCCAATGGCCTCCAAGACTGGCGCCCTGGGGTGGCACTGGCCCGGAGCTGCCTGGGTTGGCGGCACCCACACATAGCACATGCCCAGGGCAGGCCCTCCCCACCGTGGGCCTGGAGCCTCCCCCTGCCAGATCCTCCATCTGAAATCGAAGGAAGGGCTTCCTCCCGCAAAGAGGTGACTACAAAGCAAGAGCCCCAGAGGGTCCAGGCCCACTATGAAAATAGGGGCCACCTCCCCCTCCCTGCTGTCCTGCGAAGTCCCTCTGTGTCCCCAGGTTTTGTCTGTGACTACTGTCCCCCATCAGCTGGTGCCTGGATGTGCTTCAGGGGGTGTGGCGCCCCAGGACTGGTGAGCACTGTCTGCTTGGCCTCAGAACAGCACTGACAGGCCAGCCTGGCCTCCCCAGGCTTCATGCGGGGCAGGACACCACATCCCCACAGATGGCAGCGAGTTCCAGGCTGGGGGCTACAGCGCACAACGCCCTCCCGGAAGTCACACCTAGCACAGGTGCTCCGTCCCCCCCACCGCAGGGCCCTCCAGGATCACTGCCCAATTGTCCCAGGTGGGGCTGGGACCTCTGTGATGTAAGCCGTGCCCGAGGGGCCACACCCAGATTCCAGAGCCTTCATGCCCCACCTGTTTCCAGGGACCAGCCAGGCACCCGCCTGCTGTCAGATGGGAGGCCGCGTGGGGATGGGGCCCAGCGGCCCATCTCCACTGACCCGCCCAGACACACCTGGGTGGCTCAGCTGGCTGCGCAGACAACAGGAAGGCTTTGTTCCTGGCTTGGCTGAGATGTTTCCAGCCACCCTGGCCAGCGCGGCCACAGCAAATCCAGAACTTGGTGGATAGCGACGGGAAGGGGTCAGGCCGCTACACTTCACATCAGTTTGTGTCAAGGAGACACCCCCCTAGGGTGCAGGGTCAGGGTCTTAGGAGTTGCTGGGGTGAAGCTGCTTCTCCACCAGCACTTTTAAGAAGCACGAGGGGAGCAGAGTGGACAGGACAGGTCTGAGGTCAGACCCCCAGAGGCTTGACTACCGGGGCGTGTCCGGTGAGATCAGGCACCTCGCCAGGGAAGGGCTGGAGAGGAGTCTGGGAGGGCAGTGGTTGCCTTCCCATTTTAGGACTGCCCTGAAACCCAGAGGTCTCTGACCTCATCCACGGTGTGGAGGCCTCACCTCAGAAGCCCACCAGGCCTGGTCAGACCCACTGGAGGCAAAAGGTGGCGGGGGGGGGGGCTCAGCTTCCAAATGCCCCCTAGAAAGATCCACCTCGCCTGGTCAGATGCCCCTGGTCATCATCCTCCAGGCGAAGCACCACTGCCCCAGACAAGGACTTTCTCTTACCTTTGCCAGAGTATCCACCACACTGGCCAGCGGCTGCTTGGCAGGGTATTTGGCCATGTTCCATTCAAAGTGGGTCACAAAGGACGGTAAGTCAACTGGAAGGAAACAAACAGTCCAGCAGGTGAGCGGGTTCGCCCACCGGGGAGACAAGGCCGCCGCCCAAATAGAGCATCCCCGCGTGCACCAGGGAAGCCACCAGAGAGCGGCGCAGCGCGGCCGGAAAGCCAGGTTTCCCTGAGGAGGCAAGACCCGAGCCAGCGACCGACCGGCAGCAGCACCCAAGCCCCTCCGAAAACACAGCAACAGCCCAGGGACACAGTGACGGTCACACTGCGCCCCCAACCTCGCTCTGGCTGCGCCCCCCCGAGAGCGTGTCCAGGAGAATCCACTTTCTCGCAGGTGGAAGACCAGCCGGAGAAATTCCGAGGGCCTGACGCTGTTCCCGGTCTCATCCAGTGCACCCCCAAAACCACATAGCCCGTGGCCGGTCGTGGGGGCCACCCATACAAAATGAGCCATCTTCCTGCCTGCTGCAGAAAGCAGGACCCCGAGCTGTTTTAAAGGCATTTTAACACTCACCAGCCCTGGAGTTGGCAGCTGTGTGGGGGGAGGGAGAACAGGGAGCCAGGAGGACCGAAGCCCTGGGGCGGGGAGGCGCAGGCGGACTCGGTGGGACACGGGACCGTTACCACAGAGGACCTGGCCTCCAGGTTGGTGACTGGTGGTGGGAAGGATGCTCACTAAGCCGAGCAGCCAGGGAGGCAGCAGAGGAGGAGGCGGGCTCAGCTTGGGACAGGCTGAGTGTGCAAGGTGCACACGGCCAAGTCCCCAAGAAGCAGCAGATGGGGGCGAAATGGGGCTCGGAGGTGGAGGTGGAAGGGCCCTGGAAGGCGGGAAGGAGGAAGCGCCTGAAGCTGAGGCCGCTGAGGCCGCTGGTGCTGCCGTTAACGACCTAGGCCAGGACACGTGAGGCATTTACTCCTCAGCCTCATTAGGTGCCATCATCTGCAGGAGGACATGCCGGCACAGAGCGCCTTATGTCACCGCCACCATAAAACAGGACCACAAGCTCCTAGGAGGCTGCCGCCGCCTCCCTCCTCGCCCCACCTCCCGGGCACAGTTGCGCAGCAGCTGCTGCTGTGGGAGAAAGAGCTGGCATGTCCCTGGCTCCCTCTGCAGGAACCACATGCCAGGGTGACCTGACCGTCGGGTTCCAGGGATGGTGGAATGGACAGGAGCGCCCCTTAAGCACAAGGGGCCTGACCCCACAGGGCCAGCGTCCTGCAGAGAAGACACACTGGGGAGCTTGTCTCCCGCAGGACAGGCGCTGGGCGCTCACGGCCAGAGGCAGCCATTGACGAGCCGCCAGAGAGCTCTCACCAGAAGCCAACCCGCCAGGCCCGTGGCGTCGGCCTCCAGCCTCCAGAGCCTCAGGCCTGTGGTTTCAGCTCCCGGCCTGTGGTTTTCATATGGCAGCCCACACAGGCAGGTTTGGGGGTTAGTTTGTCATTAATGTGGTATTGCCACACTATGGGAGGGAAATGTCTCTGCAGGGAGAATCCAGTTCTGGAAGTTGCTGAACTAATTTGTGTGCATGACAGCACGGGCGCCGTCAGAGGCGGAACAGGGAGATGGTCACTGACTCCCTACTGGACCTGGGGGCACAGTGCCCCCTAAGCTGAGACACCCACTCCCTCCCACCCTCACTGCTTGTCCTTTAACACCAGGTCAGAGATCAACTCCTGGAAACTGCCCGCATGTCCTCACCCTGCTGGCCCGAGCCAGCGTTGCGCGCCTGGCCCCTGCACCAAAGCTGCTGCTTTCCAACTCCTGGCGGGCGATGGCCGTCTCGGCACTCCCAGGGGCTGCACCCACAGAGCAAAGCGGCGCTCCTCACTCAAATCTCCCCAGTAACCTGGTGACGAACCAACCCCTGGCACTCTGGGTTGCCCAGAAGAGGTACATTTCAGATCAAGCTCTCATCTGCAAGCATTCGCAGCAATTCCCAGGTCTTTATGGCCGTCAGAGCAGAGAGAATGGGTTCCCCATCCTACTAAAAGCTACAATGTTTTCTCTTAGTCTTTTTGAAGACTCCTCTCATCTAGGGGAGGCTGCATCTCCACCGCCGCATAAGGCTCTGACGGTAGGTCCCCAGATAAGAGGGCTGCAGAAGCCTCCGGAAACCTCTAGTGAACGTGACCTCCTCCTGAGCCCTGGCTCCTGCTGAGATGCAGCCCCTTGCCCAAGACAACACGTCTCAGGGCAGCCTGGCCCCTCCATCACCTTAACGAGAACACCTGCCAAGGACGGGCCTTCATCTCAGGCCTACTCCAGCCTCCTGGGGCCTCCCGCCTGCAGCTCTCTGACCTCAAAAACAGCAGGCTCACCTCTTCCCCTGGCCAGAGTCTGCAAAGCCAGGTCTCCTAGGAGCAACACCCGGGCTGACAGCCTATGAGGTCAGACAAGGACCCAGGAAGGTGCCTTCCCCATCAAAACAGCCCGACTGCTCTTGAGCAATAGTGACCTCATCTGAAAACCCAAACAAGGCCTTCCTGGCAGTCAGCAGAGTGAAGGGCCAGTGACTGCACGGTTCGCAGACAGCCTACACAGAGGCCGGCTCCGTGCACACCGAAGGCCCAGGCCAGACCACAGCCGGCTCAGCTTCCACTGCAACTCAACACCCCACGCCTTGCACACTCATGTCTCAGCTAGAGGCAAAGGCACCCAGGCCACACTAAGTGTCTATGAAGGGATTGGCTCCACTGACAGGTAAGAAAACCGTGAGCCCAAGAGCCAACCTGCCAAGGTCTCGGAGTGCCCCATGGAGCAGGCCCAGGTTTGAACCTCCAGGGGCCAGTGCTGCGGGCCCTCTGAAAAACAACCCCCTTAACTCCCTGCAAGGGATGGGATTAAAACCCCACCTGCAGGGGGCAACACTGAGACCCTCCACTTCACCCTCGGTCACTCTTTCCAGGGTGGTCTACAGAGGGGCAAGTCCCTTTCGCAGCAGCATCAGGAAGGTCTGAATCCAGCCAAGTTTAAATGGGTCTCTTGCCGCTGGAATCTTCCAGAACCTTTCCTGCGCTGACACACGCTATGGATGTTCAGGCGCACCTGGGGGCACAGCCCAGGGTCCTTGACTTTGTTTGCAAGGACTGGTGGCAAGAACAAGCCTCAGGAGCCTCTCGTTGCGAGTCGGGAGCCCGGGCTGCGGGAGGCTGGACAGTGAGACACACTGAGCAGCAGCGAGTGTCCTCCTGCCGGACAGAGAAGAGGCTCAGCAACGGCCCGGACGGGACGCCGGGCCACGGCACTGACGACTCGGGGTAACAACGTCCCATTTTAAGTAACACAAATGTTGAGTAGAAAGTCAGCATTTCCATCACTCTCTCAATGGAAGTGATCCTCGTGCCCTAAAGACCCGGTTTTTATGTAGGAAAGTCGCTCTCCCTTGTCAGCCCGAAGAGATGGCTGCTGAGAAGTCAGACCCGCGGCTCAGCTGAGCACAGTGATGTTGGTGTTCGCCTCGGCAAGAAACAGCGTCACGAGCAGACGCGTTGCAAAGCCATCCGGGCAACACGCGGCCTGCAACGATTTGCGCTGGGCCTGGAAGGTCTCCTGGTTTTAACTTCCCCCCAGTTGCTGACACAGATGTCAGGAACGGGGCGTGTGGGCGCGGGGACACCCACGAGGCCCCAGGAGGGAGCCCCAACAAGACGCAGAAAGCTCCTCCCGGCACGGACGCGACCAGGTGCGCGGAACAGCCCCGGGGAGCGGGCAGGGGCGGCAAGCCAGGGGCCCGGAGCAGGCGGGAGGTCGGGGGGGGGGGGGGGGGGAGGTCCGCTGGGAACACGCAGGGCTGCCCGGCCCGGGAGGCATGCAGGGCGGGCGGCGGGGGTGCTGGGCAGAGGGCAAGGCACAGGGGCTGCCGGCCGGGTCGTACGGAGGCGTGACCGAGCTGCATGGTCTCCGCGAGGAGCCCGTCGCAGCCGGGGCACCGGCTCCCTACGAGCAGGCCGGGTCATGCGGCACCACACAGCACACCCTCCCCCCCGCCACGTCACCTACTCTTCAAGCATTTCATTTTTTCCTTCAAACCTGCAACACAATAAGGTGGAGTTACAAGCAGTCATAGCAAAGCCACGCCAGGCGCGGGAGCAGGAACATCTCCGCCGGTCAGTCTCGGACAGCAAACAGCCAGCACACTCGCCGCGGCTCCCGGGAGGGCCTGCGGGGCGTGAGTGAGGCCCCACACTGATGTGACGCGAACCTCGGCGGCCGCCCGGGACGGGGTGCGGGTGCCACTGTCTCCAGATGCGTCATTCTCGTGCCCAAAGTGCCTACGTTTTCACCTTGCACCTCTGAAGTGCACGATTTAATGTGTTCACAAGGGGCCAAAATGGCGAGGGAATCTAAAGGTTGACCCCACCCGCCCCGGGAGACGGACTCCCAGCGCCAGCAGTGAACAAAGCATTTCGGGTCCAACTCTGCCACTGTACCGGGCACAGCCTCAACGTAAGTCTGTGCCGCCCCTCAGCTGGTGGAGCTCCCGGGAGAGCCTGTCGGGGTGGGGGACTCTGTTGGGGAAGGTGGGGGGCCAAACAATCAAGACTGGGTGAGACCTCACTCGACCCATTTTCACACCGGATTTTGTGGAGTTCACCCCCAGGGTAAGATGCTTTAGACATGCGTCGTCAGGGGCTGTTGCGCTAATGGCCTCTGTCCAGCTTGACCAGGGGGCCCGTGGGGGGCCCCGGCCCTCAGCCTCTCCAGGGTGGCTGCAGCTAGGGCCACGGAGGGCTACGGTGAGCCGAGCAGCCAAGTGTGGTAGGTCACGACCTACCTCCGTTGGCCAGGAGGTTCTCCTGCACCTTCTCCTTGGCATCCTCCATCACCTCCACCACGCTGTGCGCCGTTTTCCGGATGAGGCTTTGGGGAAAGGAGAGAGGCCGGTCAGCACAGGAAACGACCCCTCACGCCCTCTGGGGGAAAGGATCGGGCTTCAGCCTCCAAGGAGCAAGCTGGCAGATGGGTGAAGAGGCTGAAAGGTCAAAAGCCCAGAAACCAGTATTTCCACTTCTGGAAAATTATGTTGAGGAAATGGGAGGCAGAATAAAAAGATGATCTTTGCAGCACATGTGCCCACAGTAAAACATCAGAGCCCACTGGAAGTTTCGTCTACAGGGGGTCGCTTAGGTCAGTGATGGCTGTCCAGCTGAGTGAGGGGTCCTCTGGGAGCCACCGAAAATCAGGTTTGTAAAGGATTTCCAGCACTGGGGAACCAGGCAGGTCTCACATGGGGCTAAAACAAGAGACCAAAGTCTGGAGCCTGCAGCTGCATGAATCTTGTTTTCCCTGCTGGGCATAATTCATCTTATAACCCAGTATCCGCTTTATCATTAGAAAAGTTAAAACATTTTAAGTCTCCAGGAAACATCTGGAGACTCGGAAGTGCGAGAAGGCAGAGTGGCCACCAAGGGCTCGGAGGCAGCTGGGCTCATGCAGGCCACGGCTCCACCCATCGCCAAGGAGAGGGTTTGCTTCCAGGTCAGCGCATCAGTCTCGACCTCAGGTCTCTTCTCTGTAGGATGCAGATGAGACCATTTGGGGGGATCATCCTTTCACTGTCACTATGTGGAGAGCCAAGAGCATCCACTTCCAGGGCCGACCACTCAAGCGAGGGCCTCCCTGGTGGCGCAAGGGGTTAAGCACAGCTACAAAGCTGTCCACAGCCTCTGCAGCATGACTTCAATCTCTGGCCAGGCAGCTGACCCACGTGGCGCAGCAGACCTCTCCTGTCTCCCCTGCTGCTCCCCTTGGCAGTGTATTTCAGTCAATCTGCCTGTTCAGCTCCCCACTCTGTCTCTGGTGAATCCTCTCACCCCCTGCATTTCTGGCCTGCACCCCAGTTCTTGCATGCATAAATAAATAAAAATAAACTCTTTTTTTAAAAAGGAGGAAGAAACCACGGTGCTGGGAAATATTCTATTCTCAAATTTTATCTCTTCTTCCTGTTATTGGTAGTTCAAAAAGTCACATTTTTTTTCCATGACCCAAAGGCACCTAAGTATACGATGCAAGTGAGAAAACGGACAGAAACCAAGAATGGGCCGTTTTTCCATTTTTCACTTGTGTGTGGATTTAACGTAAAGCATTAAATGTAATGTAAAGCACTCACACAAGCCAAAACATTTCAGGGAGCAAGCTTGAGCAGTGCAACTTTGTGACGATCATAAACTCGTTAAACTATTCTGGGGAAAACACCTAATAACTCAAACCTGCCACACACACAAAATAAAGTGTGCACATGACACTCTCCTTCCTTCTGGTTTTCCACGCATTGTTATCACAAACATTATTAACTTTAAGTGGCCAGTTGAGACAAACAGCCGGAAGACTCTTCTTCCACCACTGAGCGAGACCCATGTGGCAGATACGGGTGTACAGAGTCACTGATCCTTCCGAGTCTTCTGGGCAGACCATGTGACCTTGCCAGCTCCAGTTTGGTTCCTCTGAGGACACCGCAGTGACCGTCTGCTGCTGGCCACCAACAGGAAAGTGTAGCTGCTGCCTCAGGTTTACTTTTATCACTTTACAATTCATGTTTGTCAGGCTAGCTCTCCCTCGTTCCTTTCATTTATTCATAGCATTTTTTTTTTTTTTTTTTTGCATGTCTGTGTCCTAACTAACTCTGCTCTTGGGCATTTGAATTATTTCCACTTTAATAAGATGCTGCAATGGTACCCAGATTTTGCCCACCTGGTGCAGGTAGGTACAGAATAAGTTGATAAAAGTTAGTACTGGAACAAAAAGTGTAAATATTTATGATTTTAACCAAGAAGGACAAAATAAACTCCAGATATACAGGACTAGCATACACTCCCGCCAACAATGCATGAAAATGTTGCTTCCTTAAGCCCTCAATGATAGTAGCAGTCACAGATCTTTCTCATCTCCGCCAAAGTGGCAGTTGAAAAATCAGGCCTCAGTGTTACTCGAATTTGCACCTCTCTGACCACCAGTGAGACTGGACATCTTTTCACAGACTTGCTGATTCTAGAAATAACTCTTTTCTTCTGAGAAAACTGTATTCAGATCTCTTGCTAGCTTTTCGACTTTCATTTTTTATGAAATGACTGTAAAGGCTCGAGTGTTTCAGAGACTCAGTTTTTGAGATAATGATTTGTAAAACATTTAAAGAAGAAAAGAATGAAGACTTAGAGAGCTTAACGTCCCCAGCCCGGGGAACCACTGTCAGGGCAGAAACTGCTCCCAATCTACAGGACTCCGCAGGTCGACTCTTCAGTGCCAGTGTAAACTACCTGGCACCTTCCTCTAAGACACTCGTCAAAAATTTATATTACCCTAAAGGGAAGATAAATAAATCATATTTTTTATTTTAAAAAGAGCAAAATGCAAAGAGTATGTAATTTTAATCAAGGTTCTGGTAACGATGATGTACCCAACAAAATTTACCAGCCTGTTCACTTAAGATGTGGACATTTCACTGTATGTAAATTGGACCTCATTAAAGAAAACTTTTTTTCCTGCAGCAGATACTATCTTATGTGACCAAAATTAGCATCATCAGTAAGGGGAGAGAGGAACAATGTGTGCTCCTGAGCCGATGCACAAAGAACACGATGTCCCTTCTGTGGGATCCCTGCAAGGGCCAAGCCTGAATCTTGTCATGTGGAAACAGCAGCTGCGTTCAAGTTCAGGAGCATTTGACAAAATAACCAGTCAGTACTCTTCAAAAGTTATAATGTCATGGAATTCAAAGGAAGTTTGAAGAACTGTTCCAGTTTAAATAAATCTAAAGAGACGATCACTGATTGTAAAAACTAGAACAGAAAGCCATCTTAGTATTTATTGTTACCTGAGAAAGTAAGATTTGTTTCATGATAAGGGACACTGTGGATAAACTGGTGACAGACATTTCTCCAAAGACATTCAAATGGCCAAGCACAGGATGTGCTAAGCACTAGTCAGCACCGATGGTGAGGACAGCTGGTAAAATGCTTGGAAGCAATAAATGGCCCATAAACATCAGGGTAAAAGCTCAGCCTCACCTGCTGTGAAATATTTTCACTCACCATCTGGGTGTGTTAAAAAGATTTACAGTTTCAGCACCAGCAAGTAAATAATCAGGGGAATAGAAATGCCAAAGCCCTATTGACACGGGGTGACAACTGGTCCGACTCACTGGAGAGTGTCACAGAATATCATGAGGCATTTTGAACACAGACACTTCGGCCCAGCAATTGAGCTTCTAGGAATCGCTCCTTCCGACAGCCTGGCACCTGGGCACAAAGCCACCCACACAAGGTGTCTGGGACCATCCAGCGCTACCGTCAGGGGACCCGGGCGAGGATCACGAAGCTGTACCCCACGGAGTCCAGAGAAAAAGCCAACAATGTACAGTATCGATCGTTACAGTCATTTTTGTACAAGGCAAAGGCAAAAACATGGAAATGCACGTTTGTCTTATACATTGAAAACTCAAAGATTGGCACTAAATTGTCGGCAGTGGTATCGCTCGGGGAGTGGGATGGCGGAGACGGGAAAGAATGAAGTAACCTGTGGGCATTCACCATAAAGACCAACAATAGGTGAAAAAAGGAAAACTCAAGCGCATGCTGCCGGGCACAGCCTGCTAAGGTTTCTTCCAAATTAACTGCGCTTGACGGTCATCTGGGGTGCCTCCGGGGGAGAGTTAGGGTAAGGGGGAGCGGGCGGAGCAGGGGCATTACCCAGGTGTGAGATGGGGCAGGTATTAGAAGGGGGACCTTCAGGAGCTGGGCAGGCAGAATCTGGACACCTGGAACCTTCAGGGAGAAGAGTCAGGAAAAAGCAGCCCGTGGCCAGGAGTGAAGGAAAATGTCCTTCCACCAGCACCTGGGGGTACCTGGAAGCCCCGCTTATTCTGGCTCTGGGACCTCAGGTTGCTCCAACCCCTGCGGCTGTAGGGACGGGAGCCCTGCGCGGTCTGTCTCCCTCCTTGCCCCTGGGGTCCCAAGCTCATCTGTGCGCCATGCGGACCCCAGAGCTGCGCCAGGCCCGGGTGTGCGGGCGCCCAGGGCAGCAGGCAGGGGTCTGGGAGCCGCCTGGCCCAGGAGGAGGCTGGCACAGATGACCCTGGAGGAGGGGCAGGGCCCCTCCCAGGGCTGCGTCCCCGGGCGCGAGTACAGGTGGGTCTCCCTGAAGGGTGCTGCCACTGCGAACTGTTTCCTCTCCTGAAGAGCACCCCTGAGGCCCCGCTTTCATCAGGGCCTCCGCCCCAGCCGGGAGACCTGTCCCCGCCTGCCCCACGGCCTGCTCTGTGGGAAGGAGCCGTGTCTCCGGCATCCAGATCACCTGTGCAGAGAACGAGGCTCTCCGGTTCTGAAGCGGGGGTGTCACGTGAGTCGACGCAGGGAGGGCTTCCCCTCCCCTGGGTTCTCTGCAAAATTCAGGCCACGCAGGCTGAGGGTGGCCTGGTTCTCAGATCCTGCCTGCCTGGGAGGAGAGGGCTGGCAGGGTGGGGTGGAGGGGGTCTCCCAGGTTCTGAAGCAAGCACCACATGGCCCCATGCGGGGGGCAGAGCTCATCCTCCAAAGCCAGTGTGTGTGACTCCTCGGGACCAGAAGCCCCTCAGACCCAGGGAGGCTGAGACTCCCGCCGCGGCCCTGCGCTGCGTCAGCTTGGCCGGCGGCTCTGCCTCTGAGGCAGCCTCTGTCCACACCAGCCACTCTGCACACGAAGGGCTGAGGGGCTGAGTCCCCTCTCCATGTGGATGACAGAGCCCCACCCCACACCCCCTGCAGGGCTGACTGTCCTGCAGCCACACAGGAGCCCTGAGGGGGCCTGGAAGCAGCCACACTGTTGAGGAGTCTGCTCCCCATTCTGCTCCCCTGTGACTTACTGAGGCCCCGGGCACCTCACCTCTGCTTTCTCCTCAGTCGAGCACCCACACAATCTATGTGGCCTGTGGTGAAGCCTTCAGGAAAATGTGATGAGAGAGCAATTCAGTGGGTTTTTTTTTATAAAAACATATCTAACGAGGCCCCTGGGAGGCTCTTAGGTGACCGGGGCTGTAGTGGCTTGGGGGTGGCTCTAGGATCCCTGGGGATTCTACAGGGAGCCTGTGGCAGCTTTAGAAGGGCTGGGGAGTTGTGGGGTCTCTGGGAGTGTCCTGAGGGACCCTCGGGGGTGGGGGCTCTGGCCACAGATGCACCAAGCTTTGAATTCCCGCTTTGCTTCTCAGAAACTGGAAGTTTCAAGAAGGGACTGATTTTTTTCCCATCTTTCAAGGGATTCTTCTCACAGCTCAGCAAAACAGTATTCGCTTCAGCCATATTGGCTACATACAGCTGATTCGCCCACACCCTGGCATAGAAATTCTTGGTCCTATTCAAACACCAATCTCCCTCAGAAACCGCCCCTCCTTGGGAGGTTTAGACAAGAAGGACTCCTTGTTCGGAGTGCTTGTGAGAAGCTCTGGGGTCCCCACCTTTTAGGAAGGACCAGCCAGCCCCCAGGCATGGGGGTTGGCAAGGAGCCTCTGCACATTTGTTTCAGTCACCAAGTAGCCTGGCCACATGCCCGCAGCAGGGACCCCCATTCCCACAGAGCTGGACCCCAATGTACACCAGGCGAACAGCCCCCAGACGGGCGGAAATCCACACATCATGTTCATTTTGAGAGTAGATGCAGTTTTTTCAGGCACTGCGCTGACAAGGGTTTGGAGAAGTGGCACTTCTTACAGCCTCACTGGGAGACGCCTGAGCCACAAACAGCTTCATGTCCACCCACATCCTCTGAACCAGTGATTCTACTTTTGGAAATACACCTTAGGACATAACCAAAAACACAGACAAAGGCTTATAAAAGATGCTAATCAGGGTGTTAATTATAATGACGTATGTATTTTATTGCCATTAAAAACGACAATGAAAAAGGCCCTCCCTCCATTGAAAAAAAGCCTTCCTGTTATTTTAGTGGCATAAAAGCGTGACTAGAATATAACCTACCTGCCCGGAATCAGCAAGGCAGGACCAGGAGGTGGGGCCAGGTAAATGACTAGGACAAGTCACCAGGCCTCCAGGCCAGCCTGAGCCTCCCAGGAGGTGACCGACAGACTGTAATGGGGACAGGCTTTTTGGGGTGATGATGCCGCCCTGGCATACACTGTATCAGAGAGGGCCACATCACTCTAAATACACTGGAGGCCAATAAATGTGCCCAGTACAGGGCGAATGTTACAGGGTGTCTCACCGTATTAAATTATATCTCAATTTATAGAAACATGTCCTGGATTTTCTCTTGGCTTCGTGGGTGGAGACAGCCTAGGGGAGCCCGTCAAGGCCTGGTTTGGCCTTTCAGGCTCATGCCATCATCTTCTCTAAAATTCCTTGCCTCTGCTCCCCTTCTCTCTGTCACATTGTGTTTTAGAGCCACCACAAATCTGTCGGGTCCTGCCCTGGGTGGTGGTCTGGATGCCACGACCTTTTCCCCAGGTATCCTTCAACAACTTCCTCTCCGCTTTCCCTGCAGTTCAGCCCCCTTTTGTCCATCCTTCCCTGGAGCCAGAGGGATATCTAAAAATACACATCTCGGCATGCCATTGTACTGTTTGAACTATGTCAATGATTTCCCCAGAAGTTCAAATATTGATGTTTGCACTCCTTAGCAGAGTTTACAAGCAACACCCCCACCTGTCCTGCTTCCTCTTTCTCCGAGTCGCCCCCACCCTTGCCTGCCCCAGATCATCTTTTGGAGAAACCAGAATACCCTGAGCCGCCTGGACACGTCTCACCCTTTCCAACGGTCAAGTGCCCCCTCCCCAGGCAAATCACCCTAAACAAATACAACACAGCTCTGGATAACACCCCAGCCTGGTACACGTTGCTTCTGGCACTCAGCACAACATACTGTGTGTCAATTACACACCAGGCAGCGTCACCAAGACAGCACCAAGCACAACAGGCCATCGCTGCTGCCACCTGGGGCTCAGTCAGCACTTCCCCCGGCTGCATCAGCAGCCCACTGCCAGAGAATTGGCTTCCTCAGTGGGCACTCAGTGGGTGTGAGCAAATGTGTGGCCTCACTGCTGGGAAGCCTCCTGCTCCACAGGAGTAAATAAGCCAAGTGTCTATCCCTGCGACTGGTCAATAAACTCTGGCACCCAGGGAAGGCTGGTAGCTTAGGAATAGAGAAAACTCTATGCACAGTGGGAGAACCTCCCAGGATATGTTAGGTGAAAAAAAAGCAAAGCAACACAGCTCAAGTGGACAGCTTGAAGAAATACAAATACATAATCAATGTGTAGGGGCCTCCCCGGTGGCGCAGCGGTTGAGCGCTGGGTTGCGAAGCTGCCCGCGGCCTCTGCGGCACCGGTTCGATACCCGGCTGCTCCCCGGCCACCAGAGGAGGGTCCCACATGGCGCGCAGACCTCCCCTGCCGCCCGCTGCTCCCCTCAGCAGTGTACTTCTGTCCTTCTGCCTGCTCTGCTCCCTGCTCTGGCTCTGGTGAATTCTCTCACCCTCCTGCGCCTCTGACTGTACCCAGTGCTTGTACAAACAAACAAATAAATTAATAAATAAATAAATCATGCCTCTATTAAAAAAAAAAAAAACATAATCAATGTGTAGGACTTTTCTTGTGTTTGCGTGAAGAAGCACCAGAAATTTACCTAAGCCACATGTAAAAGTTGTTACCTGGCGGCAGGCAGCTGAGGGAGGAGTTGGAGTAGGGACTGTGGTGGTGCTGCAGAGCCTGTGATGGGGAGCTGGGGGCTGGGGATGGAGCTGACAAGAAACTACTAAAGTTCCTGTGCACGTGAAGAATTTCCCAAAAGCCTCCCTGGTGGTCTAGGGGGTAAGTCTCAGCACTGTCATCTCTAAGTCCTGAGTTCGATTCCCAGCCAGGGAGCTGACCCACATGGTGCAGCAGCCCTCTCCTGCCTTTCCCGCTGCTCCCCTCAGCAATGTATTTCAGTAGATCTGCCTACTCTGCTCCCTACTCTGTCTCTGGTGAATCCTCTTACTCCCCACATCTCTGGCCTGCACCCCACCTCTTGTATGCATAAATAAATAAAATAAATATTGAAAAAAACAAAACTGGATTTTCCCTAAAGAACTAAAAATGAAAATGCCATATAACCCAGCAATGCCACTCTTGGGCATCTATCCAGGTAGACAACCATCAATGCAAAGGACCGTACGTCCTCCCACGTGTGCTGCAGCACTGATCACAATAACCAGCCATGGGCACAGCCCACCTGCCCGTTGGTGGAAGACGGGGCAGGAAGACGGGTCTCTCCACCCCCTGGATACTGTTGACCCATAAAGAAGGATGAAGCACAGCTACTGACAGCAAACTGGGAGGAGCTCAATGGAATGATGTGCAAATACTGGACATCCACATTGCAGACACTTTGACAAAGCAAAACACTTATAAAAACCAGTGGACACGCAAATGCAGTGAGGTTTCTGAGATCCAGAGAGAGGGGGGGGAAAGAGGGGGGCTCAAAACGGCATACGGGATGGTAGTGGGGTAAAAAAAAAACCTTTAATAAAACTTTTAAAATAAATATAGGGCAAATGGATGCAAAAGATTCCCATTAGCAGTTTGA